AAATACAATGCCTTTTCCATTTTAACTAAGCACTTATCATGCACTGTGGCTGTAACTTTTATAGTTTGAGGTGAGACAGCAATACTAGTGTGAATTTCTTTTTCCTTTTTCACAATTTCACAGATAAAAGATGATTTCCTACCTTAGATCTTAGCAACCTCAGAATAAATTTTTTTCCCCATACTAAGTCAAGAACTTTCCCCCTTTCACTTAAAAGAGGAACTTTATGGCTTCTCCTCGGCATATCCAAATTGCAACACTACTCTTGTGCTTTGGAGCCATTATTAAATAAAATAAGGTTACCTGAACACAAGTACTGTAATACTCCAACAGTCCATTGATAACCTAGATGGCTACTAAGTGACTCGAGCTCCATCTCCAACAGAGTGGGCAAACGAAAGATTTCATCATGCTACTTCCTAATGGCGCACAATTTAAAACTTACTGTTTATTTCTGGAATTTCCCAATTAATATTTTCAGTCTGCAATTGAACTCTGTTACTGAAACCACAGAAAGCAAAACTGCACAATAGGGGGACTACTTTATTGACTTGTTTGACAATACCCATTATACAGTTGTCTAGTTATTTAAAAAAATTTTTTTTTCTTTATTGATTTTAGAGAGAGAAAGGGAGAGGCAGAGAGATATAGAAACATCGATGAGAGAGAGAAGATCAATTGGCTGCCTCCTGCATGCCCACCACTGGGGATCAGGCCCACAACCTGGGCATATGCCTTGACTGGGAAGTGAACCGGCAACCTCTTGGTGCACGGGTTGATGCTCAACCACTGAGCCATACCAGCCAGGCTACAGTTGTTTAGTTTTAACTTTCCCCATTGAGTTGGAAAAAGTACTTAAAATGTTATTGTTTAATTTTCCTGGTAAATAAGGGAAAATGCTTCAAATTTTATTAAAAGAATGATTTATCTTAAAGGAACTTTACCATATCACATCATATAACACTGAAACTACCAATCCACATCAAAGATGTTAGAATAGTAACCTTTGAATTTAAAATGTATCTGAGGATCGTGCCACAATCATGGACCTAGTGTAGCTGAAAGGAGCATGAGTCTTTGCCGCATAATGTACATTTCAAAACTCTACTTAAATTTATAGACACAAGCTGTAGAAAATTTTCTATAAAACTGAAACTCTATTTTCCAAGTCTACCCAAAGTTTGTTCTTCAAAGAAATCTCTTAGCTCTCATTCAAAGGTCACTTGTGCTGTTTACCATTATGTTATACATATATGATACTACTTATCAGATGTTGTTCAACACTTCATCCTTCTTCATTCAAATTCGCCTGGCCGATGTGGCTCAGTGGTTGAGCATTGTCCCATGCACCAAGAGATCGCTGGTTCAATTCCCAGTCGGGGTACATACCCAGGTTGTGGGCCAAATCCCCCGTCAGGGGGCATGCTGGAGGTAACCAATTGATATTCTCTCTCATTGATGTTTCTATCTCTCTCCCCCTCTCCATTCCTCTTTCTCTAAAATTCAATTAAAAAAAAAAATTTTTTTTAATTCTTATTCCCCATTTAAAATATGGAAAACTGAAGTTGGGGTATATGGTTGCTATAGGTGGAAATAGCTCCCACAATCTCAGAATCTGAACAAATGCATGCCCTTATCAAAGAACTTTTGGTGAAAATGAAAGTAGTTTTTTATACTACTTCATAAGATAGTCGTGAGCCACATGTAGCCATTGAGCTCTTGAAAGGTGGCTATTGTGACTAAAGAAGTAACTTTTAAATTTAATTTAATTTTTTAAAATATTTTATTTTTTATAGAGTAGTTTTATGTTCACAACAAAACTGAGAGGATGTCACAGAGATTTCCCCATACTCTCTGCCTCCATACATGTATAGCCTTTCCATTAACATCCCCCACCAGAGCAGTACATTTGTTACAATTGTTGAACCTACATTAACTCATCAAAATCACCCAAAGTCAATAGTTTACATTAGGGCTCACTCTTGCTATCCACTTTGGATAACGGTCCTTTATTACACGTGTCTTTTGCAAATATTTTCTCCTAGTCTGTGGCTTGTCTTCTGTTTCTTGACATTTATTTTGCAAAGCAGTTTTTAATTTTAGTGAAGTCCCGTGTGTCAATTATTTATTTCACGTGTTATGCCTTTGGTATTATGTTTCTGAAGTCATCTAAATGTCCTCCTGTTATCTTCTGGGAGTTTTATAGTTGCATTTTATGTTTAGATCTGCAATCCATTTTCAGTTCATTTGAATAAAGTGTGTTAAGTTCTGTGTCTTGCTTTTGTTTCTTTGTCAAAGATTAGTTGACTATATCTATGTAGGTCTATTTCTGGGCTATCTATTCTATCCCATAGATCTATTTGTCTATTCTTTTACCAATAACACACTGTCATGATTACTGAAGCTTTATAGTGAGTCTTAAAGTCAGGCAATGTCAGACCTCCAACTTTGTTCCTCTTCTTCAATATTGTGTTGGCTATTCTAGATTTTTTGTCCCTCCTTATAAACTTCAGAATCAGTTTGTTGGTATCCAAAAAATAACTTGTTGGGATTTAGAAAAGAACTGACATCTTGATAATAATGAGTCTCCCTATCAATGAACATGGTATATCTCTCCATTTATTTAGTTCTTTGATTTGTTCATCGGAGTTTACAAGCTTCCTCTTATGGATTTTGTTCATATTTTGTTATATTTATACCTAAGTGTTTCATTTTTGGGGTGCTAATGTAAATAATAAAATTGTGCTTTCAATTTCCAATTCCACTTATTCATTGCTGGTACAATTTAATTTAATTTATTAGTTTTCTCTGGCTAATGGCTACCATTTTAGACAGCACAAGTTTAGTCTATAAAAAATACACTAATAAATTATTCCTTTTTAAAGGAATTTTTCCTTTTTAAAAAATAATGTAAATATTATTCCTATACCAAAGTTTAATGTTACACCAAAACAATTAAACTGACTTATTCATTTAACATTTATGGTGTATATCAGGCAATATGTACTGGTTCTCTTACTAAATGCTAAGGAGCATTTAGGAGCTTATTTAAGATCTCAGAGTATTGAGAGGTAAAATAAGTAAAAATTACAATGTATTTTTGCTTATTATTAGACATCTGAATAAAGAATTGTGGATTCAGCCCTGGCCGGTTTGGCTCAGCGGTTAGAGCATCAGCCTGCGGTCCGGAGAGACCCGGGTTCGGTTCCCGCTAAGGGCACGTACTTCGGTTGCAGTTTGTCCCCGGCCCTGGTTGGTCGTGCGGGTGGCAGCCACTCGATGTGTCCCTTCACGTTGATGTTTCTCTCTCTCTCTCCCTTTCTCTCTCTCCCTCCCTCTCTATCTGTACAAAAAATGGAAAAATATCCTCGGGTGAGGATAAAAAAAAAAAAAGAATTGTGGATTCAAAACATATAATATATATAATAATTCTGGGGATTTTAAAAGATTTCATTTAAGAGTTTTATTTAAGCCAGGACATCATGGAAGAAGTTACAAACCAAATGGGGGTGGGGTAGGTTGAGGAAAAGGATAGGCATTTCAGAAATGACATGGTGTTCTAAAAGGGCTTGGGGTGTCTAGGACTCAGCAAGTTATTCCATGTGTGGTGTGAGCAGTTGATAATGATGCTGGAAAGTAGACCCCAGGCTGATCCTGAGAATCTTACATGAAAAGCAAGAAGTTTGGATGCCAATTAGTCACACAGTATGTTATATTTCCCCTATCATTGTACATTTTATACTTTATATGAAGAACTTTATAAAAAATCTGCTTCATTAAAGTTAGAAGTTGTTTATGGCAAGATCATGTCTGCCTTATCCTTCACTGCACTCCATGGCATCTGAGAGAGAATCAGAAAGTAGGTGTTACATAAATGAACGTTTCTGCTTGTTCTGAAGCTTGATGCCCTTTGGAACCACACCACTTATCATCCAAGTTACTTCTTTGACTTGATTTCTGGTGTCGCCCCTCTTGGTTGGCAATCACATTTCCTGACAGCGTGGCTGTTTGGTGGCAGTACTTGAAGACAGGTTTTATGACTGTGTTCTCTGCATTTTAAATAAAACTGTGAACTTTACAAGGAAAGTATATTTGTGGTATTGGATTTGAGTCATCCAGAATAAGATATTGAGATGGAAAAGGACCTGAAATAACCCCCTTCATGAACTCTATAGGGCATGGGGTTAAAAAAAAATTTTTTTTTTTTTTTTTAATGAAGAGTTAGGTCTAAAAGTAAAAGAGAGTGAAAAGGTACTGTGGAGTAAGTATCAAATTCTTATTGATTTCAGTGTAGGGGAAAGCATAATAAACATGTCCCTTGCTTCCTCCATTTCATCCATAGCCATACACACTTATTACCTTATGTTTATATTTCTTCATTATTTGATGGGACTAATCAACCCCATAAGAGAAATAGGAAAGGCTCTAGAATACATGAAAGCAATTATGGTATCTGAATTATTCATCCTTGTGCAAACGAAGTAATTATCTTCAGTAGTGTTGCCCACCTGTCTCCTAAAAAGTATATTTTCTGTGAGCCCATGTAAAAATTAAATATGATTCCCTGTAGAGGGGATGCTAATTACAGGCACATCTCCTTACTGCTCCCCGAGTCCCCGCCCCCCTCCCCTCGGCCGCATCCTCCAACAAAAAAAATAGAGGGCAGCAGAAAAAGAAGTGGTTAATTCGATTATCACTGCGCGGACACTTTCGGGATAAAGCAAACAGAGACTAAGGTAACACTTGACTACCTAGGCCCCTCCGCATCCCACCCACAGCCCCGCAGAGACCTCAGGGCCTGTCTCCCCGCAAACCACGCCCCGCTGGTACCCGCAGGCCACACCTCCCGCGCGGCGTGGGCGGGGCTGCGGCTCCCGGGCCTGTCCCGTCGGTGCTGCGCGCGCGCGTTCGGTAATTGCGTCGGCCGAGTATTCTATTGTCCCTCCGCGCGGCCCGTTCCGCCTCGGCTCCGCTGCCTCTGGGCTGACGTGTCTGCTGTTTCTCGGAGGCTGGACCAGTAGCGCCGCGATGGCGGACGCCTGGGAGGAGATCAGGCGGTTGGCGGCCGACTTCCAGCGGGCGCAGTTCGCCGAGGCCACGCAGAGGTGCCCGACCCTCCCTTTCCTTTGAGGCATCCGAGATGGCCCCAGGGCGGCCTCTCCAAGATCTGAGGCCGCTGGTCCCTGGCCCCTGACCCCAGACTTTCCCAGCCTGTCAGCGGCCGCGCCTCACCCCTCCTCCCCGAGCCGAGATTGTGGTTCCGAGGACAGTTCTTGGCCCGGAGACCTGAGACCTATGCCCCTGAATCCCCCAGACGTGCTCCAGCCAGGTGCCTACGCGACCCGCCCCCACGATGGCCCGGGCGGTGACCCCGAGCTTTCAGAGTGTCCCCGTAATCCTCACCTACCTGTCCCCGAGACACTGGCATTGCCTTGTGTACAGTTCCTAACCTAGAGGGAGCGTGAAAGGAGAGGGACAGTACTTTGCAAATTCTGTGTTGACTCTTCAAACGTTTTGCCTTTTTGCTCACCGGAACAGATGTGCGAGGCCAGACCCAAGTGCCCATCTCTAATATGTAGGGACTCCTGGACACTGACATTTCCTCCCAAGCCACTAATTTGGGGACATATGTCTAGAACACCCTAACTCAGCTTTTTAACAGAACACATATAATGCTAATAGAATCCTTGTTTATCCATTGTCTGTTACTTGCCTCTGATGTTTTTGTTCCTTATGGGGCTGGAGACCTTAATCCCTGGATGCTGTATTTTGGAGCGCAGAGCAAACGAGGGCACATATGTATGGTGCTTTAGTGCTTAGGTAACTAACCGCTGCAGTTCTGGTTTTCCTAGGCCAGATCTGCCTGCAGACCAATTGTGTGGAAGTAGGCCAGGGCTTTTCCTACCTAAAGTATACGTGGTATAAGTGCATGTGAATGTACTTACTTCTCAAGTGGTGTTTTTTGTTTTTTTTTAACTCATTGAATTGTCAGCATAGTAATAAAAGAGAGAGAGATTGTAATATAGAACCTACTGACTTTTTATCCAAACATTTTACTTTTTAAAAGCTTCTCTTCATACATTATGTCACTTTTATTAAGCACCAACTGTGTCAAGTGAATTTTTAAAACTTTTCTTGTTTCCCTCAAGGTTATCAGAGCGGAACTGCATTGAGATTGTGAATAAATTGATTGCTCAGAAACAGCTAGAAGTAGTTCACACACTTGATGGGAAGGAATATGTTACTCCAGCCCAAATTAGTAAAGAAATGAAAGATGAGCTACATATCCGAGGTGGTAAGTAATTCCCTAGGGGTTTTTTTGGTGGTTGTTGGTTTTCTCTTCTGGTTCTTTGGAAGGGGGGGGGAACCTTAAGACCATGATTATGCAGTAGTTTTATGACACCCTTCTCAATTGTCAATATGTTAACAGCCTTAATATTTTTATCTGGTTCAGCTAAACATCATAAAATTTAAATGAAGTCAGATATTATCACTTTACAAAATAGCATTAATATTTGAGCTATATGTCTATGTGTGAGGTATTCAGTTGTTTCTTTTCACAATTCATGAATTTATTACATAACTCTGGAGGGTACTTAGCTGCCTATTAGAGTGGTAATTATGAAGGGAATAAGATTTTAAAGGTATATAGATTGTTGAAAACCAAAACTGTGCTAACAATGCCCCCCCCCCTTTTTATTAAACTTACCTTTAAGTAATTACAAATTAGGAAACAATTCAGAATGATGCTACACATATTATATTATAGGAAATGCTATTACAAGCACACACAAAGTTTCATTTTCCTTTGTCTTTTAAAAATTTGAACAAACTACAGAGCTAATTTGAACACTGATTAAAATAGAAACAACTCTTTATTAGCTGTTGTCAGCTATATCCTTGTTTTTTTATTTTCCTGCATAGTGATAATAAAATATTACCTATTATTTGTTATACTTAATATATTTTCTTTTTCTAATACCAATTTTAAATAATTGAAAAAAATTCATCTGAATTTAGTTGTCAATATCTCTTTGGTGACAGTAGATAATAGTGAAGGGCGATAAACAGCCTCCATAGATCTAGTCAATGAGTGTATTAGTTGATGTTCGTAATTGACCTGATGTGACAAATGATATATTGAAAGTAAATTATAAGCCATGAAGACTTATACAGCTAATGGTGTATTATTATTGTGGCTGTATGTCTTTTGTAGAAGGAGGACTTCGACTGTCCAAAATATAAATCTGTTAGAATTTACCATTTTTGACTAGTGTGTATTTAGACATAATTTAAAATAAATGAATGTCTTTTCTTTAAAGGTCGAGTAAACATTGTTGATCTGCAACAGGTAAATTTTTAAGCCATAAAACATTTTTTCCTTTGATTTGTACATTTTTTTATACTATTAATTTTTTCAAAGTCTTAAGTGTTTACTAATACAGGTATCAGATTTTGTATAATGTTTGTGAAGAAGTAATTGTTTTTCTTACTAATGCACTAAATCAATTTAATAAGTTCTTTCTCAGTTGACTAATTCTTTATTCTTTACTAAATAAATTCAAAATTGTCATTTTATGTAATTACAGGATTTATGTTATTTGGGGAGGAAAAAAATCACTAGCTTCACAAGTTCACTTGTTTTTAGTATGTGGAAGTAATAGAGAAATATAAAAAAGTAGAAGACATTTTTAGAAAATGTAAGTGCACATGTCATTACCAAGTTATACTGTATACAAAAAATTGGTGAATGGCCCTGGCCAGTTTGGCTTAGCGGTTAGAGCGTCAGCCTGTGGTCTGGAGACACTTGGGTTCAGTTCCCGCTAAGGGCACGTACCTCGGTTGCAGTTTGTCCCCAGCCCTGGTTGGGTCGTGTGGGAGGCGACCACTCCATGTGTCCCTTTCACATCGATGTTTCTCTCTCTCTTTCTCCCTCCCACTCTATCTGAACAAAATATTGAAAAATGTGGACTAAAAAAAAAAATTGGTGAATGCCCTGGCCAGTGTTGCTCAGTGGTTAGAGCCTCAGCCCTTGCACCAAAGGGTCTTGGGTTCAATTCCCTGTCAAGGGCATGTACCTGCGTTGCAGGTTCCATACCCAGTTGCTTGGGGCATGTGTGCAGGAGGCAACCTATTCATGTGTCTCTCTGACATCGCTGTCTCTCTCGCTCTATCTCTTCCCTTCCTCTCTTTTACTCTATAAAAATCAGAGGAAAAAATATCCATGGATGAGGATTAGCAACAAAAAGAAACTGGTGAATCTTCTGTGAACTAGTGCCTATTATATGAAAATGTAACTTCTTTTTTTTTTTTTTTTTTTTTTTTATTTATTTATTTTTTATTTATTTATTTATTTATTTATTTTATTTATTTTTTTGTTACAGATATTTTACCTTTTTACCCCATTGGCACCCCCACCCCACCCCCCCTCCACCCTTTCCCCGGCTTAGTTGTCCATGTCCATTGGTCATGCATACATGCATATAAGTTCTGTGGTTTATCTCTTCCCACCCCCCACCCCCCATCCCCTCTTCTGAGGGATGTCAGTCTGTGCCCTACTTCCATGTGTCTGGGTCTACTGTATTCCTCAGACTGTTATGTTCATTATATTCCACAAATAAGTGAGATCATGTGGTATTTGTCTTTTTCTGCTTGGCTTCTTTCACTTAGGATAATACTTTCCAGGTCCCTCCATGTCGTCTCAAAGGATAAGAGATCTTTCTTTCTTACTGCTGCATAGTACTCCATTGTGTATATGTACCACAGCTTTTTTATCCATTCGTCTACTGGTGGACACTTGGGCTGTTTCCAGATCTTAGCTATTGTAAATAGTGCTGCTATGAACATGGGGGTACATATATTCTTCCTCATTTTGGTGTTTCAGGCTTCTTAGGGTATACTCCCAGCAGTGGGATCACTGGGTCAAATGGAAGTTCAATTATTAATTTTTTGAGGTAGCACCATATTGTTTTCCATAGCGGCTGCACCAGTCTGCATTCCCACCAGCAGTGTATTAGAGTCCCCTTTTCTCCACACCCTCGCCAACACTTGTTGTTTGATGATTTGTTGATGGCGGCCATTCTGACAGGTGTGAGGTGATACTTCATTGTTGTTTTAATTTGCATCTCTCTGATGATTAGTGATGTTGAGCATTTTTTCATATGTCTCTTGGCCATTTGTATGTCCTGTTTGGAGAGGTGTCTATTCAGCTCCTCTGCCCATTTTTTAATTGGGTTCTTTGTCTTCCTTTTGTGGAGTTGTATGAGCACTCTATATATATTGGAAATTAACCCCTTATCTGATACATCATTGGCAATGATGTTCTCCCATACAGTGGGTTGCCTTTCCATTTTGATGATTGTTTCTTTTGCTGTGCAGAAGCTTTTGAGTTTGATGTAGTCCCATGTGTTCATTTTCTCCTTTATTTCTGTTGCCTTAGGTGATGTATCAGTGAAAATTCTGCTCCGTATGATGTCCGAAATTTTGTTGCCTACATTTTCTTCTAGAATTTTTATGGATTCACGGGTCACATTTAAGTCTTTTATCCATTTTGAGTTTATTTTTGTGTATGGTGTAAGTTGATGGTCTAGTTTCATTTTTTTGCATCTAGCTGTCCAATTTTCCCAACACCATTTATTAAAGAGGCTGTCTTTACTCCACTGTATGCTCTTGACACCTTTGTCAAATATTAATTGAGCGTATTGCCTTGGGTCCATTTCTGGGTTTTCAGTTCTGTTCCACTGGTCTATATGCCTGTTCTTGTGCCAGTATCAGGCTGTTTTGGTTACAGTCGCTTTGTAGTATAACCTGATATCTGGTATTGTGATCCCACCTACTTTGTTCTTCTTTTTCAAGATTGCTGTGGCTATTCGGGGTCTTTTTTGGTTCCATATGAACTTTTGAAGTATTTGTTCTAGTTCTATGAAATATGTCGTTGGTATTTTGATGGGGATTGCATTGAATCTATAGATTGCTTTGGGTAGTATGGACATTTTCATGATGTTAATTCTTCCAATCCATGAACAGGGTATGTGCTTCCACTTTTTTATATCTTCCTCTATTTCTTTTTTCAATGACCTGTAGTTTTCTGCAAATAGGTCCTTTACTTCTTTGGTTAAGTTTATTCCTAGGTATCGTAATTTTTTTGGAGCGATGGTAAATGGGATTGTTTTTTCAGTTTCTCTTTCTGTGAGTTCATCAGAAAATGTAACTTCTTAACACAAACTTTCCTAGCAGGTATAATTGTTCAGAAATGAAAATAAATAAGCAAGAAGCCTCTGCTTTTTTATTTGACTAAGACTTTTTACAATATTTCAAATAAATTTGAAGTCCAAATAAGACTTAAGATTTTAAAAAGGTAGTTCTAAATATATAATTGTGAACTTAAGAAACAATATGAACTTATCACTAACAGAATATGTATTTATTTTCAAGGTAATTAATGTGGATCTGACTCATATTGAAAATAGAATTGGTGACATTATTAAATCAGAAAAGCATGTTCAGCTAGTGTTGGGACAACTGATAGATGAGTAAGTACAATATTTAAGAGCACTTTATTGTATAGGTTTTTTAAAAATTAGTGTTTATATTTAAATTTAGAACAATTGTAGCCAAGTCAATATTTTGTTTAGCACTCTTATAATGCTGATTTTCAATATAAAGGTCATTGTACTTAATAGAGTACTTGGAAATAATATAAACTTTGATTTTTTCTAATCTTAAAGCAACACAAAACATAACTTTTACAATTATTCCTATATGATCTTAATTCTGAAAACAAATTTGTTCCAACAATGTTAATGAAAAATGACTGCAAAATTTCCATTGTTTAAAGAAATCCAAGTATATATCATTTGATTAACCTTACTTTAGCTACAACGATGAAAAAACAATTTTCAGAATGTGAGTAATGAATAGTGTATATCTAAACATACTCTTTTCATTCAATTTGGGGCATATCTTATTGCAATAGAAATTAAACATAAAAGAGGAAAACCATTATTCCTAATTTGTTGTTTTTGTTTGTTTGTTTTTACTATTAGAAGCTATTTGGATCAGTTAGCAGAAGAGGTAAATGATAAATTGCAAGAAAGTGGTCAGGTAACCATATCAGAACTGTGTAAAACCTATGATCTTCCTGGAAACTTTCTGACACAGGTATTTTTTTTTTTTTTCTTACTAGTAAAATGTGTCCTTTTAGAAAAACAAAAAATTTTAATGGGAGAGAAAAAACTAGATTTTCTTACCATCAACTGATTTTTTGCAAGTATTTGACTATTGCTGTTGTAGCAACACATTTTGGGTATACTTGTACATTGATGGCTCTGATGAGACCGTTTGGAAATAATTATAATCTTCCTGACCCAGAGACACACTTAAAAACAATGAATAGACCAAGGTCTACACCTGCTTTGATGCAATAGCAAGAATACCATAAGTGCATAGGTTTATTTAAGAATTCTGGTATCAGTTATACAGAAACTATAACCAGCATATCTGCAGTTCTGATTGCCCAGTTATATTTTAAGAAATAACTGATGAAGATTATATTTTAAACGGGGTGTTACTGGCATTTGTTGGGTAACAAAAGGTGAGAGATGCTGCTAAATATCCTACAATGCACAGGACATCCCCTCAAGAAAGAATTTTCTTGCCCAGAATGTCAATAGTAGCAGTATCTTTTGATGTCACTTTTTGCTCTAAACTGTCAATGTGATTGGAGGAAGAATCAAGGAATCTCTCAATGTTTCTTAAGTTTAGGTATTTGTGTGAATACTCAAATATCTTGATTTATACTGTAGTAACTGGGCTACCTGAAAATAGAGGCTGTTTTCTTTTTTTAAATCAGTCTTTATTTTTGAAAGTATTACAGATATGTAGTTTGACATTTTAGAATTACGGAAGTCCACTTAATGCAGTGCAAAGTGCTTGAGCTTTTAGACCTTTATTTGAACTCTCTCTATGCCACTGCTTAGTTATTCAGTGTTAGAAAAATTATTTCATCTCTTTTGTGCTTCAGCTGACATATCTGTGAAATGGGAATAATTGTCTTTTTCATAGACTTCAATGAGGTTATATACATGATATACCTGGTGAAATGTCTGGCACAATGGTGGCACTCAATAAATGATGGTTTTGATTTGTACTTACTGGAATAAATAAAGGAAAAGCCAAATCTCTTTATAGTTATATGTCGCTTTAAGAAAATCTACTTTATAAAAATTTACCGAAGCTTAATTGCATGAAATTAATTTATAATACCAATAGATTTACTCACCCATTTTATTAAAGTCAGTTCCCCTATAATTGTATCTAAAATACCATATAGGGTATAGATCTACTTAACATAGTATTTCAGGGGCCTAAATTCTATTTTAAATGGAAAAAATACATGTTAATCACAGAATATTAAAAAATATTTTAAAACACTTCTTAAAAGTATCAGAATAGATCTAAATGATTTTTTAAAAAAAATAAAACTGTGCTACTGGTTTTGGAAATGTATATGGTTTCTTAATATTTTTCATTCTAATTTTTTTGCTATCACAAGCATTATTATGGAAGCTTATTAAGAAGTTAATTGAAAAGCATTTTTCTATACCATAAAAGTATCAGCTAGGCTGACTTGAGTAGATTTAGCTTATCTTGGGATGTGAAATATGTCCAGACTATTTCAGATGCCCTGACTTCAATCATACTGTAGCTATGGAAAAATACTCTCTGGAGGTTACTAAGAAATCAGGTTTTCTGCCAGTGTAGATTTCTGGGCACAGATAACCTATTAATATTTGCATCAAAGAATATAACTTTTCAGGTTTTGTGTTTCCTTGGGTTGCAGAATATTGGAATAATATTTATCTCTCTCTCTTAGTGTTAGAAGCATCACAGAGGGTCTTCTCCAAAACTCATGTATATTTCTTGGCTGTCTGTATGTTTCAAATTGCTTATCTCTAGAAAAGTGATTAATTAATCTATTTTACATTAGAAATAGTCCTTATTAGCAGTTAACTAAGCCTTTTAACATAGCAGCTATTGAACTCATTCAGTTCTTGGCTCTGCCATGAGATTATGATATTTCCTAGATCCTAAATCTAGATTTCGACATGCATATCTTATTTATGCTTATTGGAATTTCTCAATTATAAGATTAATACAGCATCATTCAGCATGACTTTAGTAAGACCATAAAAATGTATGTGTGTAATTTTTTTCTTTAAAATTTATAAAAATTTGCATTTTTACCCCCAGGCACTAACTCAGCGACTAGGTAGAATTATTAATGGACACATTGATCTTGATAACAGAGGAGTAATATTTACTGAAGCTTTTGTAGCTCGACATAAAGCACGCATCCGTGGACTCTTCAGTGCTATTACCAGGTAAGCATGTTTTAAAGTCTGTATATTTCCTTGATCATGGTTTGCATCATTTATTTTCTAGAAGCTTTTATTTTAAGCACAGTCTCATTCAGGACCCTAGTTTATTAAACGGATAGCAGGGGAACTTCTGTGAAATGGGAGTGGGGATTTTAGAACCCTAGAATGTAGCTGACCCTACGCTCTCTAACCCACAACTCCTCCTCCTCCTTCTCCTCCCTACTTTCACCACCCTCATGGCCCCAGATGCACTCTGCAGACTCCCCAGATCTGTATGTGAAGTCACTCTGGGATCATGGAGCTCTATCCTTGGGTCAGAGCTCTATCACACAGTAACCACATAACCTTGAGCAGATAAGTCAGTCACCTAACTTCTTTGGGCCTTAGATCGGGCTAGAGGATTTTAGACCTCTTTTTATTAAATAACATTCTACAATTCTGATGAATAACAATGTTAACTTTTAAAATCACTTTTAGCCCTGGCCGGTTTGGCTCAGCAGTTAGAGCGTCAGCCTACGGTCCAGACAGACCCGGGTCCTATTCCCGATGGGGGTGCATGCCTCGGTTGCGGTTTTTCCCTGGCCCTGGTTGGGTTGTGTGGGTGGCAGCCACTCAATGTGTCCCTTTCACGTCATGTTTCTCTTCCTCCCACTCTATCTGAACAAAAAAAAAACCAAATGGAAAAAATGTCCTCGGGTGAGGATTAAAAAAAAATTTTTTTTTAAATAACTTTTAGGTTGTCAATGTGAAAATTTCTGATATGTTTTGGGCCTATGTGACAAACTTCAGTATGGAGTAAAGAAAACCTACGTTTCTAACTATCTTCTTTCTCCTATGTCATTAACTTTATCTTATGGTTTTTGAGTCCCACCAGTATTTAAATAAGTCCAGATTGTTCCAATTTGAAAACAATCAAACCTCCCTCAACCCCATATTTCCCTACATCTACTATCTTGTTTTCTTCTTCTTCTTCTCTTTTTAAATATGTGTTTTATTGACGTTTAAGAGAAAGAAGAAGGGAGAGAGAGATGGAAACACCCATGTGAGAAGAAACATTGATCAGCTGCCTCCTGCACACCCCCTACTAGGAATAGAATGTGGACATGTGCTCTGACCGAGAATCGAACCAGGACCTCTGGACAGGCCCTTGTTTGTTTCTTTTTTCTTTTCTTTTTTTTTCAATTCTTTTTTTCTTTATTGATTTAAGAGAGAGAGGAAGGAAGAGGGAGAGAGAGAGAAAAACATCGATGAGAGAGAACATCGATTGGCCACCTCCTGCATGCCCCCCACTGGGGATCAGGCCCACAACCTGGGCATGTACCCTGACCAGGAATCTTACTGGCAACCTCTTGGTGCATGGGTCGATGCTCAACCACTGAGCCACACTGGCTGAGCTCTTGTTTGTTTCTTAAAGTGAACCTTCTCAAGAGTTGATGTCTATACTTACTGTTTCAGTTTTTTACCTTCTCTCACTTCTCAACTCACCCATCTTGCTTCTGCCACTTATGTATCAGTGGTGTCAGTATCACTGAATCTAATGGGTACTTTCCGTCCTTGTTTTACTTGACTTTGCAGCAGCATTTAATTCCAGTTACATCTTACTTCTTGAAATGTTTTTATCCCTCCACCCCCTTTTTTTAAACACCACACTTTGCTTAGGTTTCTTCTTACCACTTTTGGCTGTACCTTCTAAGTCACCTTTTCTGACTCTTCCTCCTTTCCCTAGCTTTTAAAGTTTAGTTTCAGGCCATCTTTTCAGTCCTGTACTGTTTCCTAGGTGATTTTACCTTTGTTTTAAATTTCAGACTCATACTATGTGCATAGCATCTCTATTGAAATGTTTTACAAGTTCCTCAAATTCAGTATATTTTTAAAAACTTACTATTCCTGACTATCCCACTCCCCGCCCCACCTGAATTAGTTCTTCCACTTGTGTTTTCATTACCAGTGTATGTTATTATCTGGTTGGTTTTGTCAGAAACCTAGGAGTCATTCTTTATAACATCCACTGTCTCACTCCCCTTTCCAGAACACACAGTCTTTTGAATTCTGTATTTTAAATATTTATGTAATCTTACTTCTCTGACATCACCATTCCAAACACTTCAGTCCATTTTTTTACCTGGATTATTTTAGTAGTTTTCTAACCATTCCCCCTTCTGTGTTTCTTACCTTCTGGAAATTTTTTACATAGCAGCCACAGTAGCTTCTTTTTGTCAGTCAACAAATCAAAAGCATTTATTAAACACCTAATACATGTAAGGCACTGTGGTATAAAAGGCTGGGAGGTTAGAGGGGGGATCTTGCAATCTAATGCAACAATTTTCTTTTCTTTTTTTTATTAATCTCCTACTTACAGAAAAGTTGCAGGAGAACCTTTGTTTTTCTGCCCCATTTGAGAGGAAGTTGCTGTTATTATGTCCCATAACAACAAGAACTTTAGTCTGTATGTCCTACAAACAAGGGTGTTGTCCTGTATAATTATAATACAAACATCAAAATAAGAAAATTGACATCGATACATTACTATCCTCCAGTCCTTGGATCCTGTTCATGTTTTACCAGTTGTTCTAGTAATGTCCTTTATAGAAAAAGGATCACATATTGCATTTAATGGAATGTCTCCTTAGTCACCTTCAACCTGCAACACTTACTTTGTCTCTCCTTGACTTCCATGACCATGACACTTTTGAAGATCGCAGCCTAGTTATTTTGTAGAATATTCAATTTTGCTTATCTGCTATATTTTTCATGCTGATATTCAGGTTATGCATCTTTTGCAGGAATAACACAGAAATGATTCTGTGTTTTTGTCATTCAGTCCCATCAGGTGATATACCATGTCAATTTTTTTCCAGTTACTGATGCTGTGCCTTGTAACTTCTTAATAAAGAGATACCTGCTGGGCTTCTCTTAATGATACTTGTTTTTCCTTTATAATTAAGTGTTCATGGGGAGGGCAGTTTGAGATCATGTAAGTTATCCTGTGTTTCATCAGACTTTCAGTTTATTCATTTATTAAAATCACTGTGGACTCATGGTTCCCCATTTTACTCATTGGGTTATAATCTATTATCATTGGTATTTAGATTTTCAAAGTGGCTCTGGTTGAGCTAGTGGCAGGCCCCTCAGTCTGACTTCTGTCATGGCCCCATCATTCTTGGAGTACGTCTTCTCTTTCTTATACAACAAAATGTTTCAGGCCCAGTAAATACATTGCCTAGTCCATCCCTGAATTCATTTCCCAAGGAGCCTTGGTTCCCTTTAGTGGAGTATGGCATTTAGAAACCAAAATCTGAACACTAGATTGCTTATTGCTGTTGGATTGTCACTGCTTCCAAGCCCTTTCAGCAGACAAACTAAGGGATACACATACAGAAATGTATTAACCCCCCACCCTCACTTTGTATGTATACTTCTGTATCTGTATTTATGTGTATCAAAAACCATGGGTTCACACCAATGCTTCTGATTTCCTTGCAACACTAAGTTTTCCATATTTGTAACTCCCTTCTCTGTGAGAAAACTAGCTTCCATTTTCTTTAATATATTTACTTACTGGATTAATTCCCTTTTCTGTGACTGATCTCCCTTGCTGCTACAGTTCTCTTCCCTGTGAGGATGCCCTCCTTACTCCACATAGGCTCTCATAATTTGCACCGGATCACTGCCTAACACAAGAAACTAGTAATGGTAGTTGTTTTGGGAGAGGAACTTAGTACTTGAGTGAGAGGAGTGGAGAGGGATTTAATTTTGTAACTTTTCTGTACCCTATACATTTATTTTAGTAAAAAAAAAAAAAAAAAAATTCTTATTGACAATTTTTTTACTATTGTGGTGAGCTTAGTTATCAGATGAGCAAATAATGCAGGGGCAGGTAAAAGTATGTTTACAGTTGTGAGTATACAAAACACAGAGTTAATAAAGCTATTGTAATAATCATAGCCTGCATCTCTTTTTCCGTACCAACAACCGTAACCCGACTTTTGCCCACCCTGTATTTTCATGACTTATAATAGCCTCGAGTTTCTCTGTGTGGAGGTATTATTAAATTTTGAAGACAAAACAAATTCTGAGCCTCAGAAGATGTGGCCCAACTATATGACTTTAAGAGAGTTCTATTTAATGCATCATGTCATCATATTTGCCTCTTAAATATAAGGAACCACTCCACTTTTCTTGTCTATCTTCAGGGAAGTTTATATTTATTGTTATTATTGGTAGCCAGAAAGGAGAGCAGAGAGTAATTAGTGATAAGAGTGAGATATGTAGGTATACTAAACTATATTGTATTCCAAATTAAAATTAAAATTGAGCATTTTCATTGTACAAAAAAAGCTAGAAGTTTTGTGCAATTCAGTTAAACATTTATGAACACTCAATAAATAATGCAGCTGGAATTTTTAAGATAAAGTCCTTCCAGGAGCTCTCTACATTTTTGTAGGAATGTTTTCAGATAGAAGGGAACAGAAAACCACACAATAAAACAAAACATGAGACAGCTGTAATCTTTATAAGAGGAACAGAAGAGAGTAGAGTACTTAATTGGATCTAATTGGTTTGGGGGCTCTAGATAATTTAGCTGAAAAATTTCAGCCCTGGCCAGTTTGGCTCAGCGGTTAGAGCGTCGGCCTGCGGTCCGGAGAGACCCGGGTTCGGTTCCCGCTGGGGGCACGTACTTCGGTTGCAGTTTGTCCCCGGCCCTGGTTGGTCGTGTGGGTGGCAGCCACTCGATGTGTCCCTTCACGTCAATGTTTCTCTCTCTCTCTCCCTTCCTCTCTCTCCCTCCCATTCTATCTGTACAAAAAAATGGAAAAATATCCTCCGGTGAGGATTAAAAAAAAAAAAAAATTCAGTAGACATTTAATGCAAAACAAATAGATCCATACAAGAACTTGGTAAAAATAATAATTTAGTCAAAAATCTCCAAACACAGGCATTTTTAAATACCAATTTATACCCAGATAACTGTTTCTGCTCTCCCAAGATTATCATAGAGAAAATGTATAACATCTTAAATAATCAACAACAGAGGATCAAGTAGTTGGAATGACTTCAAAGTCTCTTAAGTATATACATAAAAATAAAAACAAACTAAACCTAAACCAGAGAATAGGCATAATTGGCTTAAAATTAATAGGGGGACAAATTATACATCCTTTTTTTATAGTTTTCTTACTTAAAAATGTATAATTATTATAAAAGAAAGGTACTCACAGGATCCACCCCAAATAAGTAGAAATGTGTGCACACAAAGACATGAACACAAGTGTTTATAGAAGCATTATTTATGATATTCCCAGACTGGAAGCAACCCAAATGTCTATCAAGTGATGTATGGATAAGCAAAAGGTGTGGTATGTCCATACACGAGTGCTATTCAGTGAGGAGAAGAAGAATGAATACTGTTTCAAACTTCATCCTGTGTGAACCTCAAAAGCATGCTAAGTGAAAGAAAGAAGACTCAAAAGATCACATGTTGATTTCATTTATATGAAACCTTTAGAAAGGCAAATTTATAGAAGCAGAAATCAATTCGGTGGTTTTCTAGCTGTAAGGGTGGCAGCAGAAATTAACTGCAGACATCAATGAAGGGGCTCTTTGGGTGATGTACATGTACCAAAACTGGATTGTAGTGATGGTTGCTCAACTCTGAATTTATTACAATGTTTGAATTGTATATTTGCAATTGGTTGGATTTCTGATATATAAATTACACCTCATTAAAGCTTTTTTAAAAAATGCAGTCATTACAGAAAATACTGGTGAGCACAAAAAGCATTTTTAGTGGATCCCTGTCAGTCATCTCCTGAATCTGGGAGTACATCATTTCAGATTTGTTTCAGTACATCTGTGATCTCATTTTTCTTCAGAAATAAACTCATATAACATTCACTTAACTATACCCAGGTAGGGAAAGAACCTCCCAGACAGAAAGAATAACATGAAGAAAAACAAACACACAGTAAAGGACAAGGCAGATAGTCAGGTATCACTAAATCTGAGGTAAAAATTTTGGTAGGAAAGCAAATATTCCTGGATTGGGAAGACACATCCATTCCCCTGGTATTTCAGTAGCATAATTTTCATTAAGGATGTATAACTTGATGCAGTTTTTCCTTCATTTATTTATTTTAAATTAATTGGTATTTTTTAATAAACTAATTATCCTAGTTGTCTTTTAATTCATAAATATGTGTAACTGTATAACAAGTAAGAATCTTTTGTTTTGTTTTCTTTCTATAAAGGCCTACAGCAGTGAATTCTTTGATATCAAAATATGGATTTCAGGAGCAGCTTCTTTACTGTGAGTTTGGTTTAAATTTTATGTCAATTAGCTGCTAAATAGACTTAATATAAAACATATTAATTATAATGCTTTTTTACCTCTTCTAATCTTAAAACTTATGTAACTAAAATATTTCTGGTTTAAAATTTTCTCTCACAATTTTCATGTATTATCTGTTATACCTACAAAACATTTATTCTTGGCTACCACCAGGGGAGTGGAATGAAAAAAAAAGTGTGTGTGTGTGTGTATAAATACTCTGTTATGCATATACATGTGTAGATTAAAATTGTAGTATTAAAAATAAATATTACTTTGTTTCTTACAGATTTTTACTACATTTTCTAATACAGAAGTAAATATTGTTTGTCTAGAAATTTTTACAAAGATTTTATAGCAATAAAATATATATATTTAGCATTCAAACAGAATAGGAATATCTCTAAAATCATCTTGGTCCATTACCTATTTTGTGTGTATTTGTGAAGCTTTTTTGAGGGTTTGAGGGGTGTTTTTTTTTAAGCTTTGCTGGAATAATTTTCAAAAGCAGTAACTTCATCTTTTGACTCAGCTATCTGTGCAAATATAAGAATTAAAATGAAGAATGGAAAAAAAAAGTATAGAATCAAAAGTTAATTTTTATTCTCTATAATTTTCAGAATATGGAGTTAAATTTAAATTTTGAAACATGTATTTAAAATTAAAATTACATACTTTGGAATCTATATAAATGGGGGTTGGTAGGATTTCACTATAATATAAAATTCTTCAAGTAATTATTGGTAACTTTATAACTTTGGTTTGAATTTAGCATTTAAAATTATGTGTTGCAGTCTATTGAAAAATCTAGATTTTTCTGATGAATTCTAATTTATTCAGTATTGAAATTCTGAATTAATATGTAAACTGATTTTTATTTCTGTTAAAGGCTAATTTTCATAAACTTTCTTTGTGCCGGGCATCTTTTGAATGTGCTTGCCGATTCATTTAGAAATAATTCATTCCTATACGCATTGTCTTTTTTTTAGGTGATTTTGATATTTAATTCAGTTACATATTATTTTTAAGTAAAAACTATAAATTTGGTGTTAGTCATAGCACTATCCAGTTCTCAGACTGGCATCAGTTTTTTGATGCCGATGATTGTGGTGGTGGTGGTGATAATGATACACAGTTAACATTTATTGAGTGCCTATGATATACTAGGTATGGTTCCAAGCATTTTACTTGAATACAGCCACCCTATGAAATAGGTATTATTATTCCCATTTTGCAGATGAGTAAATGGAGACATAGTAAAATCACTTGCCCGCTGTTTGTCTGCTTAAGTAGGTAGCAGAGTTGAGATTCGGACTTAGGCTTTCTGCATCCAGTCCATCCTCTTAGTCATGGCATTGCACTTCTTTTTATAGGTAGGGTTAAAATGTATCACTCCAATTTAAACAGTGGAAATGTGTAATAACATATAAAAATTATTTTTAGAGAGAGAGGGAAAAAAAAATTGATGTGATAGCAAAACACCCATCAGCTGCCTCCTGCATGCCTCCCAGTGGGGATCAAGCCTGTAACCCAGGCACTCACCCCGACTGGGTATCCAACTGGCAGCCCCTTGGCGCACAGGACACCACCACCCAGCCAACTGAGCCACACCGGCCAGGCCACTTAAAAAAATTTTATGGCTTAATTTCACACTGTAGATTCTAATATGTTATAGGTATCCTAATTTTTCTAAATGTGAGAAAATTGAATTTGGTAATATCTATTCTCAAAGTATTTAGTCATCTCCTTTTTAAGAAATCATGATATTAAATAATGGCATGTTTTTTTTCCCCAGAATTACTCAAACTAAAAACTTAGTGTTATTTAGTACTTTTTTTCCCTTTATTGTTTAGAGAGAGATGAAGGGAGAGGGAGAGAGAGACAGAAACATCGATGAGAGAGAACATTGATTGGCCACCTCCTGCATGCCCCCCACTAGGGATTGGGCCCACAACCTCATCATGTGCCCTGACTAGGAATCCAACTGGTGACCCTTTGGTGTATGGGTCGATGCTCAACCACTGAGGCACACCGCCCCGACTATTAACTAATTTTTATAAGTTCTGCATCTTTAGCTAGTTGACAAATTTTCTGAATTTATGACTGAGTATTCTCATAAATGGCATGAAAGTTTTGTCTAAAATATGTCTTAATTTATTCAATTTAAACTTGAACTTGCATTTTTAAAGGGTAAGAATAACTAAATTGTAAAATAGTAAAGTCTTGGGGTTTTATTGAGATTTTTACCTGCTCTGATTTATTTCTATTTGTTTTGTTTTAAGCTGTCCTTGAGGAACTTGTTAATAGTGGACGCTTACGAGGCACTGTGGTTGGTGGGAGGCAAGATAAGGCCATGTTTCTACCTGACATTTACTCCAGAACACAGAGTACTTGGGTGGATTCCTTTTTCAGGCAGAATGGCTATCTAGGTAACTATTTTGTTTTCTTTGAAACTAAAACTTCTTTCTAATACTAACCACATTCTTAGGAATTTGTATATTACCCTGGGAGCACACATATACTGTACTGTAGCCCAGCAAATAATAATGGTTCTCTTTGAGTGTAAAAGTAGTCACACTGCGAGTTTGTGTGGGTCTTGGAAACTGAGTTTAATTCCGTAGTTATTGAACTGTTATAGAAAGACCAAAAGCTGGCATTACTTGTTACCATCCTTCCAGTGATATTACAACTTCAAGTATTTTGTAATACATAAAAGGGAATTATATTTATTATATTTATTATATTTTATATGAAGTTGCCTGCTTTTGCAGATTATTATACCTGAAAGTATTGTAAATATTTTTATTAGCTATCAACTTTATAAAGTTCATTAGTTATCTAATACTTCAGAAACATTAAAGTTATTCTAAATTTGGTTTCTGAGGTTCTGTCATTTTGATATGGTAGGTTGATTGAATTTAGTCATTAAAGCAGTTAGGAAATAAATATATATATATATCGCTCAATTTAATTTTATAACCCAGGTCAAGCCACATAAGAGATCATTTGCTTTCTCAATAATAAGCCTGTATGTAAGTCATTAGTGTTCAAACACTTTAAATGCATGCTAGAATATGGGGTTTGGCTTATGTTTTCTTGACTTTCTGTAATATACTTCCCATTTTCTTCAACCATGGACTTGGTTCAGAACTTTGTTGTACTTAATTTTCTTAAACATGATTATTTGGGGATGGAGAGGACAGTAGATACCTTCAATAACTCTACTGGTTATAAATTTAAGTTTTCATTTTTTACTTTTGTTTTATATGCTAACTCTCCTACTGGTTTAAATTACACTAGAGAAGTACTTTGTTCTAAGGTGTCTAATGAATCATTTGAAAAATAAAAATTCCATTTTTTTATTTAACTATAATATGCAAAGTAAATTCCAGTGTTTGTTTCTTTACTTAAACTTTATTTCTCTGTAGTTCTCATGTTTCCCTGTGACCCTTCAATTGGAAAGGGATTAAAGCAACGGGAATTGAGGAAGTACTTGAACCCATTGCTCTACAAATATATTTAGTAATAAAAATTTGGGAATGTAACATAAGCAGGCTGTGGTACATTTCCGTGCTTTATTCTTTGAAAAACAAAGATATTAGAATACAGTGCATTCACAAAGAATAAGGTTTGGTAGAGCTTAACTTTTTGTAACATTTCTAAGAAGTGTAAAGATTGACAGTTCTATTCCAACTTTGGGATATATTTCTAGAATTTGATGCTTTGTCCAGACTTGGAATCCCAGATGCTGTGAGCTACATAAAGAAAAGGTATAAGACTGCACAGCTCTTGTTTCTGAAAGCAGCTTGTGTTGGTCAAGGACTTGTGGATCAGGTGGAAGCATCGGTAGAGGAAGCCATCAGCTCTGGAACATGGGTGGATATCGCAGTATGTTTTTTTCTTAATTTTTCTTTAAATGAAATGACAACTAGTATTTGGCCATTTTAAGAATTAGGATACATAAAGGTCTTGGCTTTAGAGCCAAATTCTAACAGTCATTGTTTCAACAAAATTAATCTTAATTATTTTATGCTTAAAGATTTTCTGGGTTTTGAAGTTAGGTGACATTTTGTATATAGAGAGTCAACATCCAGAATTTTGTAACTATCAAACAGGCAAACAATATAACACACTAGTATAAGTCTTGCCATTTGGAAACTAATGAGACTTCCCATGCTCTTATCCAAGCATTTACAACCTCACTGGCAGTAGGCATCATGTCCCATTTGTTTACCCCTTATCCGTTGATCTCTGCTAATATGTTAATACAAGCTGCTTTAGCACTGATAGTCTTTTACTTCAGTTTTAGCATTAACCTTCCTTTGTTATGCCAAGAAGATGAGTGTAGGTGAAGAGAATGAAACAAAAGGCCAATCCATTACACAGCAGAAAAGTCCTTGTTTTGCATACATGAATTCTCAGAGATTCCAGATATAAGTGTTTATTTATTCATTGAACAAATTTTATTCAGTGCCTTCTGTGTGCCAGACATCATTTTACTTGCTGGGAATATGGTATCCAGATAAGTTTCCTGCTCTCAGGGAGGAGTACTTTTATTGGGGGTAAATGGTTAATGAAAATGATCATTTCAGATACTAGAAAGAGCTAAAAAGAAATATATTTTAGAGGCAAAGTTATCAAGACTTGATGGTGGATTGTTTTTAGATTTATGAGAGTAACTGAGTGTGACTTGTAGGTTCGGGACCTGGTCAACTGAGTGGAGAATGCTACCATTAATTGAGATAGGGGAAATAGTGGGGAAGAGCACATGGGTGCTGGGAGGATCGGGGCAGGCGGCTGCAAATCAGTGTTGTTTGGACAGGTTAAATTAGGCACAGGGGTAGGAAAGTTAGGGAAGCAGTAGGATTTATGATTCTAAAACTCAAAGGAATGATGAAATGTAATTTGGGAGGTTATAAGCATACAGATGATTCCAAAAGCCATTGGACTTAATGAGATCATCTAGGGAGAGCACATACTATATAACAAATGGTTTATCAGTATTGTAGTACATTTATACATTGTTCATTTTGTCTTTAATTCTAGCCTCTGCTACCCAGTTCTTTATCAGTTGAAGATGCTGCAATGTTACTTCAACAAGTGATGAGAGCATTCAGCAAACAGCCTTCAGCTGTAGTCTTTAGTGACACTGTTGTAGTCAGTGAAAAATTTATAAATGACTGTACAGAACTCTTCAGTGAGCTTATGCACCAAAAAGCTGAAAAGGTATGCCAGATTTCTTTTTACCTAGCAATCTTAACAGTATCTTCACATTAGAATCATATTGTGTCCTTTTAAAAGTTGGGGTAAGCTCTATTCCCCCAAATTAACACAATCTTTTATACATCATTTTCCTTTACTGCGTCATTCCATTTTATTTCCTCTCCTGGATTTCTTTTTCTTTTTTATTCCCATGAAGACATAGAAGTTAAAACTTAGGGAGCTGATTTTATGAATTGAAATCATATAAATAAAATTATACACTTCACAATTAAGTTACATAAGGGTATTGGTCTAACATTAGAATCCATAAGTATACTGTATATTTATCTATCATTACATAATATATTTACTAAACCTATCAGAGCCTCATTAATTTTACCTATTTGGGGTACACAAACCGGATAACTTACTGAGAAAAGAAAGTGTTTGTTGTTATCAAAATTGATTAGCTTCTCAGAGCAACTACTGTCAAAGTGTTTAGAAGTAGAGGTCCTGCCAAGTCTGTTTTAAGGCCTGGTCAATACATGTTTCTAGTTAGCAACACCATCTACTTATAAAACCCACTCACAAATAGGTAGAATAAGCCCATTTATCTTAGACTGTTAATAAATTCTTGAGAGCTTATTAAATATATAAACAATTTGTATTTATATTCCTTTTAAGCTCTTTAATAGTCTTTAAAAATGAATACTTTTTTACATTTGGCCTGCTAAGCATCAAAGAGGAGTAAAAGTTTACAGGATTGATATTAGTAAACCTGAGTTCTGTTCTCAACTGTTTACTCTCTGTTTGACTTTAGACAAATAGACCTCTAGTTTCCTCAGTTTCAAAAAAGGATACCTACTCTCAAAAGGATAAATGTAAATAGCCTGACCAGGTGGCTGAATCAGGTGGAGCATCATCCCGTGCACCAGAAGGTTGCGAGTTCAATTCCCAGTCAGAGTGCATACCTAGGTTTCACATTCAGTCCTGGTCAGGGGGCATACCAGAGGCAACTGATCAGTGTTTTTCTCTCACATCAATGTTTCTGACTCTCTCTCTCAAATTAATAAAAACATATTCTCAGGTGAGAATTAAAAAAAAAAAAATGTAAATGCATATAAAATGTCTGCTACATGTTAGCTCACAGTTACTAAATGCCTATTTTAAAAATTTTAATGCTATTATTTTTACTTGTGTCCTTTTGCTAAAATAAGAACTTAATGTGGTCACCATTGTGTTTCTTCATTGTGTTCCTGCCTCCAAACCCAAAAATAAATTCAGAAAAAAAGGTGATTCTGTCATTTGAACTGTCAACATTCTAGATATTTTTCTTTGGAAAACCAAAAGGGAAATAATTTTAACATGAAAATGGACTTTTGTCACTACAGATTTAGAATTCTTTTCCATAATAAAGACCAGTTTCTCAACTGGGGAATAGTTCATTGTTCTTAACACACATTTTTTAAAAGCAGAAATCAAGAATGAGTTGGGGGTGGGGAGGTTGTATGCTAAGGTACAATTCATATATGCTCATGGTGGTGGACAGGGATGTGGAGGTGTTTTCAATCTCTTTAATAATCTCAGGTCTCCAGGTATGGCACTGGACTTGGGAGCCTCAAAAAGAAAGGAGGTAAGGGTCATCTGTTAAGCCAGTAACAGCTGAAGAGGATTACATTTGATGCTGTGTGATTAGTTGTTAAGTGACCAGATAGGATTTCTCATTAGCTGATAATAGATACAAAACTCCAAGAATAGCAAAGAAAGAGGCTGATTTTTGGCAAAAAGAAACAGTCTCAATTGCAACTGTGAGACAAATCTCTGTAGTTAGCAGCGAAACCAAACAAGAATAATTAGGATGTGAGTATATAAACAACTTTTATTTTATACTTTTTGCAATGCTGTATATTTTCCCTACCAAAAAAAGCATGTTTTATTTTAGGAAATGAAAAATAATCCTGTTCATTTAATCACTGAAGAAGATCTGAAACAAGTTTCCATTTTAGAAAACACTAATACAGGTAAAAAGGATAAAAAAGATGAACGAAGAAGGAAAGCAACAGGTAAAAATTATTAACAAAGATGAGTTTTTAATTTGTTCCAGTGAACTCTAAATTTGTTAGGCCCTTTGAAATGCTTTTATTTGGTCAGTTCACCTTTGACTGCTAATATTAACCAAATCTTTTGCTAATGGATTAAATATTGATTATAAAAATGGAAATATTGGTGATTACGTATTTTATTTGTGAGAGCTAAGTTAAGTTTATGCTTGGCCCATCACCTGTTGTTCTTCTCTCACCCTTTATGTTCCAGCACAGTAGCCTTTTTTTTTTAATTCTCAGAGTTGGCAAGTGCCTCAAGGCCTTTCCTCTAGCTATTCCTTCTACCTGGACTATTCTCTCCTGAACTTCAGGTTCCTTTTTGTCATTTACAGATCAACTTTAAATTTCAGTTCCTCAGAGAGAGCTCCGTAATTGCCCAGAATAGTAGTGGACACATTCTCCATTATAGTATCTTGCCAGTTTTTTTCCACCACTTTGATCACTGTGATGTGTTTTATTGTTTGGGAACTTTGTCCATCTCATTTTTTTGCTATTTCCCTAATACTTAGAACCCTCCTGGACATATTTTAGGAGCTCTATAACTATTTATTAAATGAATGAATTTTCCAGACACACTACTTTTTAAATTTCTTTTTTTAGTTTAGAAATTATTTTAGGTAGCACAGGCATACCAGTAACTTGCATTCAGAAACTGACATATTTTCTATATTTTTATAGTAGGAACAATTTTTATTTGCTGTGCAAATTCACTCCTATTTCTTTGAAATTATTTTCTTTCTTCTTCAAAAGCCTTTTTCTGCAGTCTTTCAATAATGATATTTTGAAATTTTTCTCCCTTTTTCTAGGAAAAATATATAGTAAATTACTCCAATAAATCATAGTAGTATTCACAGCCATGGATATTTTATTTTATTATTTAAAGAAATAATTATACATTCAGCTTAATTAATTGGTTGCACTTATGTCAGTATAAGTAGTCTACTTTATTTCCTTCTAAAAATTCAGGTCATTTGGTGCTTTGTCTCAGTGACAGTACTATTATATTATAAAAATTGAGTTATAATGCATAGAATAATCTTCCTCATAAGAAATTATTACTAAATGCAATAAAAACACATTCACTTTAAAATTTGTGCTTTAAAAATTGTTTCTTTCATAAAAATAAGGAAAAATAAATTAGGACTTAGAATTATATAACATGACATTTAAGGTAATTTTACTTAGAATTTTTAAAAAGTCTTTATATAAATTATTTTATTTAATTGAAAACTTAATTTTTATGAACATATTTTTAACAGTTGTAATGCAAATAAATAATATAATAATAAATAATAATACAAGAAAAAACTCTGCATTTTGCATATTCACAACTGTAAATCTACTTTTATCAACCCCTGTATTTATTAAACACTTGTTATGTATCAAATGTTGCTTTAATCCCAAGATACAAATATTAGTGGGAGATGTTTCAAGTTTATTATCTTGTTGAGTGGTGGAAGAATCCAAATGTCTCCTATAAACAAGGGCAATACTTTTTTAACCAAGAAAACAAAACCAAGTATAATTAAATGTGTGAAGTACTGAATAGGGGATATTCATGAGGCTGTGGTAACAGAAGGGCAGATGAGGGCACATTTTCTTCTGGAAAGATAAAAAAGGAGGTAAATGAATGGATTTGGCCAAGAAAAAGTCAGACAAAGCTACAGAAAAGAGATGTCATTAGAGAAGGAGGAAGAAACTGCATTTAAAGCAAATAGGCTATCTAAGTGAGTTGCTCAAATTCAAGAGAGTTTATATTTTGTTTTTTATTTATTGAATTTACAAAATTTTGGTTTGATAAAGAAACTTTGACATTAAAAAGGTGGCAAAAAGTTTAATTATTTGGCTTTTATTTTTCTGCTGTAAAGTTAAATATGACAATATAGTATTATTTTCTAAAAATGCTAATTAAGTTAGGTAATACTAACTAATGTCATTTTCCACCAGAGGGCAGTGGAAGTGTGAGAGGAGGAAGTGGTAGCAATGCCAGAGAGTACAAAATTAAAAAAGTCAAGAAGAAAGGAAGAAAAGATGATGATAGTGATGATGAGTCATCTCACACTGGTTTGTAGCATTATTTTACTCTTCCTTTGTATATGCATGACTTTTTAAAAACATTTTCTTAAGATGCATACAGTTAGGTATATATGCTTATACAGGAAGTCCTGGCTTTGCAGTTTCAATGGGCATACATTTCAGTTATCACAGTTTAGTAAAATGACATTAGCCCCCCAACAACGTGGTTCATATTTCAGTGGCCAAGGTATATTAACTGTGAGCAATTGCATAAAGTAATAACATCACTGCTAGCTCCTGAGCCCACAAATCAGCACATAAATAGCAGATGTGCATCATGATCTATGAATCACATCACTTATTTCAGTGTGTCAGTAATTGATCATTGTGCATCTCTTTTTCACTTTATGCACAAAGTATATAGTTGTGTTGCCTCATTGTTTCCCAGTGATAAATCCATGTAACATTTTACAAAAATGGATAATCAAAAGAGAATTGGCCATCAAAGATGAAAGTGTAGGAAATAAATGAAAAGCTTAACACTGGAAATAAAATACGAATCAAGAATAAATGGAGTTTTAGAAAAAGTAGCTGTGGGAATTTTGACATTGCCACTCTTCAGGGGCACTCCAGCCGTGTAGCCAGAGGAGCTTGATAAGGGTGCACTTATTTTATTTTATTTTATTTTTTAAGGGTGCACTTATTGATGTAAATGAGAAAAGTGGTTGTGATAAAAAGGATGAAAATGTCTTAGAGGATGTGAGGTTAGCAAAAACTCCACATTAGAGGAATTCTCAGATATGTTTCGCAACGTTGAAAGGGCAAAGGATCAAGTGTAGAGTTAAAAGTGGGGTAGGATAACTTGCCAAGGCACATAAAAAAGATGTTTGTTCTGTGTTGTAAATCACAAGGTGAGAAGCAGGCAAGCATTGTTCAAATTATTCTTGATTCGTTTTTTACAAAGAAATAAAACTTTCATTCTCAGTGTTTGTGATGAGTTAATTATAATTAATTATAAATATTAGTTTTATTTTTCACTTCCCTATACATTTGTAACCACCAGTAAAAGCTTTTAATGTTTTTACAAAGATTTTTAAAAGGTCACAGAGCAGGCCTGGCCAGTTTGGCTCAGTGGTTAGCAGTGGTTCTCAACCTTCCTAAAATGCCACGGTCACCTCATGTTGTGGTGACCCCCAACCATAAAATTATTTTCATTGCTACTTCATAACTGTAATTTTGCTACTGTTATGAATGACCATCAGAAATATGTGTTTTCTGATGGTCTTAGGCGACCCCTGTGAAAGAGTCCTTTCCACCCCCAAAGGAGTGGCGACCCACAGGTTGAGAACTGCTGCGTTATAGCATTGGCCCACAGACCAAATGGCCAAGCGTTAAATTTGATCAAGGACCTACCTAGGTTGTAGATTCAGCCAGGGCTGTCTCCCTCCCTCCCTTCCACATTCTCTAAAATTCAATGGAAAAATATCCTGAGGTGAGGATTAACAACAAAAAAAGTCACAGAACATTTGAAAACTTTTTCATTGTTTATTAAGAATACTTTGCATAGTTTCAGTTTGTATAATGATTTTTATGGTCTCCCAGTGCTTTGCAAAACAAACTATAATATTTTATGAAAAGAGTATTTCTGCAAATTTAAGTAGGAAACATTTATTTTATACACATTTAGTTTTCATGGTAACATCTAATTGGTTAGTTGCTTCTATCTTAGGGGGAGAATTAAGTATATGCATCTTTCTTTTCCTACACTTGTTAGTGTTTGGTGTGGTTAAGTTAGCGAGAGACATCTTACTTTATTTTTCTAAATGAAATTATGATACTTTTTGTCTATTTTTTTTTAAATAAACTATGATACTTCACACCTCCTTTTTTCCAGCAAAAAGAGAAAAAAAAAATGAAGTGATGATAATTTGAGATTTTTATTTTATTCTTCCACCAAGTTCATTATGTATGGGCTAGAGCTGTGAGATGTAGATACCAAGTGACCTGGCCTCAGCTATTGATGTGCTACTACTGTAACAGAGTTGCGTAAGATCTGTCTTTAAAGTATTCAGAGATAGGTTAAAATAGCTACTGTTCTTGTCATGCATAAAACAGTATTAATTAAAGGAAAAGAATCTTCATAGAAACTACTAGCTCTACCCTTATTTTAAATAGTATTAAGACGGTCCTATGTGGATTTTAAGTTTTCATTGATAAATAGATTTCCTTCTTCCCCAGATGCAGAAGGTGTAGGAGTGAAAGTGCATTTAAGAAAAACCTTCTCTAACATCTGTGGCCTTAAGTAATTATTAAATGGGGCATGTTATACTCTTTTTACAAATAGATTATAAAGAGGGGCTATAAAAGTATAATTAAAACTTTCTACCTAAAAGAATGTAATTTCATTGCTTTTGAAAAAGGGTTGTGTTGTAATCTCTGAAATCAGGATGTGATTAGGTTCTCAGCTCAAATATAGGGTCAACTCAGTGTGAAAGATTACTAGGAGTAAATAAAATTTAATGACTTGAATGAAATGCCTGCAGGACACAAACAAACAAATCAGAAACTATTTGGTGTGAAAGAAGAATAGCTCATCTATTCTAAAGCTGTGATTTCAACTACTTATATCTTGATTCATGTGAACATTGATTTTTGAGCTGCTTTATTTTTATTTCTAAGGTTTCCTTTTTAGAGTCAGTACCTCATCTAGTTGAAAATAATCACTTTTATACTTTTTTAATTAATAAGGGAAACATTGTCAGCTCTCTTTGTCTGCAATCTATATTTTTCCAAGTTAAGTGAGTAGGCATGACATTTTCACAATTAACAATTATTTCCATTACAGTAGCTACATACAAATTTTTCTTGGTATAGAATTATTTATGATAGCAAAAATAAATTATGGGTGTAAAATTATGAGGTTTCTTTTTAATCTATACCTTTGCAAAAAGACCATTTTTAGCTTAATTCTACTTCTGTAGTGCTTTACATGATTGTAAAGAGTTTTCCTTAAGATCTTAGGTAAGTTATAATGATGATTTGACTTTTAGTAAGTATTCATTTTTCTAAAGAAGGAAGTTCTGCTCAGTATCCATTGTTCAACAAAGAGAATTTATCCTTTCCTAAAAGATTTTCATCTACTTGATTGTTTAAATTTCTATTTGTTACATCAGGGGAAAAGTATCTTTTATTTTTTGATTGACTTGTAGAAAACAGTCATTAAATGAAGTTAGGAAAATATAACTCAAAAGAAATGCCATTATGTATGCTATTCTAAAAATTATTTTTGAAAATTATTGTTATTAATCATTGGCAATTTTGGTGACAAAAATTAATATTAGCGTTTTTGTGGTAGGCAGTGAATGAATTACTACCTTATTAAATACGTTAATGGAAAACCGTTTCCTTTATGTTGCTCATTTGTTTGTTTTGTTGTTGTTTTTCTCATTGCTCATTTCTTTATAGGAAAGAAGAAGCCAGAGATCACTTTTATGTTCCAGGATGAGATTGAAGATTTTTTAAGAAAACGCATACAAGATGCCCCTGAGGAGTTTATTTCTGAACTTGCTGAGTACTTAATAAAGCAAGTCTAAAAACATATTTTTTTATTTGATGATAGAAATTATTATATTAAATTTTCACCAACCTGATAGAAAACATATATTTTAGGTGGAGTTTTTTAAAAGCTTGGAATTTAATTCTAGACATGTTTGCCTGCAGAGGCAGTTCAACAAACACTGCAATACGTGGGCAAGGCAGTGTGGGCGATAAAAGGCCAGGAGTGTGGAGGTGTCCTTGTTCACTGATCTTACAGTCCTGTTTGGGAGAAAACCACCAGCACTGATCGCTGGCTGGTCTCCTCTAGAGCATGAAAAGTAACATTTAAAAGGAAGAAAGGAAAGGATCATTTCCTATCTAGATTTGACAGAAAGTACACAGTGCACAAGAAAATCAAGTAACAAACTGCCTTCAAAGAGAATAAATTTAGCCCTGGCCAGTGTGGCTCAGTTGGCTTGAGTGGCATCCATGCACCAAAGGGTCAAGCAGCCAATCAGTGTTTCTCTCTCACATCAAAGTTGTTTCTCTCCCTTTCCCTTCCTCTCTCTCTCTAACATCAATAAAACCATTTTTTAAAAAAAGAATAAATATAGATAGTACTATCAGCCTAAATTTGTTTTTTTACAAAAGTCAAAGAAATTGTGTTGTACTTGACCACTACTAACTAATGCAGTCTTTGCTCAAATTAGTAGTCCGTGTGTAAGTTTGTATAAATATAATCCAGGAGCCCAGTGCATCTTATTTATTGAATTTAGAAATTTAGCTTTTCTAGTGAGTTCTTTTAAATTTAACTATATTTTTGTTTATGACTCCATTAATTATATTTTTTATATGTGAAAAGCTGAAATAGTTACTAATTATTTGCCATTATTTAAATAATCTTTTCTGAGTTAAACATGAAAAGGTTTTTTTTTAAATACACTATGTTTTATAGTACTTTATAAATGGAGATAGGGAACAGATTTAGAGTCTACTATTCTCCCAATTAACTTTCAAGAGTTGCTCTGAATTTAATTTGAATGGAAGCTTTTGTTGTTTTTGTTGTCTTTAACACAATGGCTTTGAATACCTTAAAAATTGAGAATATAATCCATTTAAATTATAATTTCTGGTATGGATAACAGATTCTTTTAAACTGTTCTCCAAATTAATCTTACTTGTTTAAAAACTAAAGATGTTTTCATTAACCTTATTTCCATAGAATCAAAAATTTTATTTATGTAAACCCAGTACATTTTAATAAATGAAATATATTTATCTTGTTCACAGGCCTCTTAATAAAATTTACCTCGAGGTGGTACGTTCTGTGTTCATGTCTTCGACTTCTGCCTCTGGAACTGGCAGAAAGCGCACAATCAAGGACTTGCAAGAAGAGGTTTCAAACCTCTACAATAATATTCGATTATTTGAAAAAGGGATGAAGTTCTTTACAGGTATACTTAATACTATTTTTTTCCAGTCATTGATTCTCATAATTTTTCTTGTACATTCATTTTAATAGAGCACCTTTATTTTTCAGATGATACACAGACTGCTCTTACCAGGCACTTGCTAAAGACAGTCTGTACTGATGTCACTAATCTCATTTTCAACTTCTTAGCTTCGGATTTAATGATGGCAGTCGACGATCCTGCAGCCATTACGAGTGAAGTATGTTAGTGATTTTCTTGACACTCTGATGTGTTTTGTTTTGAAACCTGGGCATATTTTATATGAAATAGTCTAAAAAGAAAAGAAAATACAGGAAAAATATTTTAGGAAAAAAATCGGAAATTTTTTATGTCAAGTATAGTACATTATATATATCTATATATATATAGATACATAGAGATATATAGAGATATATAGATATAGATAGATGATAGATAGATAGATAGATAGATAGATAGATAGATAGATAGATAGATAGATAGTTGCTAGCAGCTTTAGGAGTATAACCAGTCTATTAAAAGTAATGGTGCTTGCCCTGGCCGGTTTGGCTCAGCGGTTGGAGTGTCGGCCTGCGGTACAGAGAGACCCGGGTTTGGTTCCCGCTAAGGGCACGTACCTCGGTTGCAGTTTGTCCCCGGCCCTGGTTGGTTGTGCGGGTGGCAGCCCCTCGATGTGTCCCTTCACATCGATGTTTCTCTCTCTCTCTCTTCCTCTCTCTCCCTCTCGCTCTATCTGAACAAAAAATGGAAAAATGTCCTCGGGTGAGGATTAAAAGGAAAAAAAAAAAAGTAATGGTGCTTAATTACTTGCATACCAACATTTTATTTTTTTCTAGTTATTGTTATGTCACATCTCTCTTTCCTGCTGAGTTATAAGTCTCTTAATAATGTTTATGCCAAATTCCATAACTTTGCAGTCATTTTTCTTGTGACACCACTCATTTCAATACTTAACACTAATTCTGAAGAGAATATTGGTCTCTAAAGAGAGTGTGTGTGCTCGCCTCTCCTCTCCCAATCTCTCTCTCTCCCTCCTCTTTCTCATCTTCGTCTTACACTAATGGCAGGAGTAGGGACTAGGGTTGCATCTGTCTTCTTTGGCTGACTGGCTTTTGGCTAGCTCTCTGATTTGAGGATGTTTTAGCATATTATTATCCCAAGTTTGAGATATAAAATTTAAGAACAAAGATAAATTCCATTCAACATTCTGTTATAGTAATAAATATACATTTTCTGTTTCATTTTGTTTGATCTTATATCCATCACCTGTCAAAAACACAATGCTTATAGACTTTTCCCCCCATAGGTAAGAAAAAAAATTTTAAGTAAATTATCAGAAGAAACTAAAGTAGCCCTCACAAAACTCCATAGCTCCCTGAATGAAAAGGTAAGTAAAGTTTGATTCTATTTATATACATATACATATACATATACATATACATATACAGCTAGCATTTGTGATATTTGAGTAGACTTTTATCAGAATAATTGTAAACTGAGTCTAAAACTACTATTCTGCACTCAGATACTGTTTTGGGAAGTGAAGGGGAGACCAATCTAGGGGCATTTTACCCTTTTTAAAGTACTAAATAACAATTTCAATTTAAAGACAAAATAACCTTTTTTAAAAATTATATTTAGGATATAAAATTATAAAACAGTATTAAATGGCTGTATTTTCTTTAGGCATCCTGTTTATAAAAGTTAATTGTGGCATTGAATACCTTTTCAGAGCATAGAAGACTTTCTTTCTTGTCTGGATTCTGCAGCAGAAACTTGTGATATTATGGTAAAAAGGGGAGACAAAAAAAGGGAAAGGTAACACAATCTACATTATTGATGAATTCTTAGATGTGATCTATCTGAAATTGGAATTTGACTATCTGAATCCTGCATAGAAAACTCTCGTGGTTGTACACTCTCAAGACTATCCGGTTCTAATATACTTCGGTGTCCCTCTCTGACTCATTTTGATGAGGTAGCAGAGTTCCTTAATCTCCTAGTTGATCAAGCCTGGAAACTTTTTATTAGCTTTGAGACCTTCTTTACAGGGAACCTATTTAAATCAGTGCTCTTCTGTTGGATCCCCTACAACTCAAAAAGCATACTTTGAATATCCCTGCTACATTGTTGTCGTTTTTTTTTCTGTCATTTTCTAGCATATTAGTATATCCATGCCATTTAGGGTTATGGGTGTCTGTACCTCATATTTAAAAGATCCTTTAAAGTGTTTATGGAACTAGATAATTAAACTAGAAAAGTAAAAATGAATACAGAAGAGAAGAACTGAAATTGATGGGAATTTGTGTGTTTATATTTTTGTTTAGGCAGATCCTGTTCCAGCATCGACAAGCACTTGCTGAACAGCTAAAAGTCACAGAAGACCCTGCTCTTATCCTGCACCTCACATCAGTCCTGTTGTTTCAGTCCTCAACCCACAGCATGCTCCATGCTCCTGGAAGATGTGTGCCACAGATCATTGCTTTTCTTCATAGTAAAATTCCAGAGGTAGTACATTTTCAGTGCACTTGAAACTTTTAATGCTTTTAGATCACAAATATTTTAAATGGATAGATGTGAATCATTGTGAACACCAAGACACATTAACATCATCTTCCTGTTTCCACAAAAGCAAAGAGTGAATGAGAATCATTTAAGATCCTATGATATCCATGGTAAATAATATTCTGAATTGGAAATTAAGCTTTTAGAAAAGATATAATAATGTCCAGTCTTTCATTTCAGCTTATTCAGGTTTAACCTGTCCTTGAAGCGCCCCTCACAAAGTCTCATTCTACCTAAATTTTTCTGAGAAACTCAATTAAAAGTAATTTTGGCTTTTTTGAACTTCCGTATTACTTTGACTGTATCATCAGTGATAGAACCTAGCTAAATCAACTATTAAAATAATCTATGTTCATGTTTTCTCTCTCCTAAAATGTAAACTCCTCGAGAGCAAGGACCTTGTTACATTATTTTCTACTTACATGGCCACTGATTTGTAAAAATGAAGACCTTCAATGTGTCTTGGTTGAACAAATTCTACTTTGTTCCACAAATCACTAAATCATGTTTGCTAGCTTTTCCTTTCTCTTTTCACAGGATCAGCATACACTTTTGGTAAAGTTTCAAGGATTGGTTGTAAAGCATTTAGTTAATCAAAATAAGAAGATTGGGCAGGGAGAGGATCCCTTGATTAATGAACGAGACAATGAAGAAGATAACACCAGTACTACTCGCAAAGAGCTTCAGGAACTTTCTTCATCTATTAAAGACCTTGTTCTCAAATCCAGAAAATCATCTGTGACAGAAGACTAACAATCTTAATTTACTTTTTTCATATAGTAAATATTTTTCCCCAAAGCTATTGGTGAGTTATAAAAATATTTACTTCACATCCCCAAACCCCCAATGGCCCCTCCCATTTATACAATTTAGTTAAAACAGTAGTGTTGTATTCAATGTAAATCTTATAAAAATGTGAATTTTTGTAAATTGAGTTCTCCATGGAAGAGTTCTTTTAGACATTATATAATTCTAAAAATTATACATTTATTTTCTTTCCATATACTGAATGAAGAATAAATTTTCTTATATTTTTTATTTCTAGGAAAGAGCTCATTTGTTGTGTTATTATATTTCAAGTGTCATTATTATATTTTTACTTATTAGGCAGAAACTTAAAATGTGGTCATGTTTATAAAAAAAGAAAAATATACCAACTCTGTTAAAAATGAAAATTGTGTATTTTACTTTAAAATTAAAGCAAATGCTTCAAACCTAACATACAGAAATTTGCAAAATATGGCAACATCAATGTGAGAGAGACACATTGATTGGTTGCCTCCTGTACAACCCTGACCGGGACTGGGGATTGAACCTGCAACCCAGGTACGTGCCCTTAACTGGGAATCAATCCCAGACCCTTTGGTCAAACATCCAAGGGCCAATTTCTAACTGCTGAGCCAAACCGGCCAGGGCTGCAAAATATTTTTTTTATTGCTATCCCTTTTATTTCTGGCAGATCTGAGGGCCTTCTGTCTTCCCACAGGAGTGAACGTTTACGTTGTTGAGATCTTTAGGGATGCCTTTACAGGTGCAGAACAACACCTGAGGGGCCCATGTATTGCTGTGCTCTAGAGGGAAAAAAAAAAAATTACTGCTAATAGGTATGTCACTTGTTACCAGTGGAATAAGTAAAAAATTTATGCAAATATTTTTCTTTAATCCAGCTTGTATTTCTAAATGTCATTTATTTAATCAGTAGTCATTTAAGCACCTAATACTTTGTTGTGGGAATTTATAAGGGCACTTAAATCATTGCAACCTCTTTTTTGTTGTTGTTTTAAAAAATAAAAACCTCTTATTAAAAAATAGGTATTCTTGTTTTCTAAAGATTAGTAGTAGTTAAAATTAATTAAGTTATTAAACTAATTAAAACTAAAATAGTTCCTTGGGGTAATCATTTCAATCTAATGAGTTTTAAGCAACAATTTATTATATATCAAAAGGAATTTATTTTTAATATAATAGTAAAGTAAATCTCAAATATTAAAAAACTATTCTTTTGTCCTGGCGGGTGGGCTCAGTGGTTAGAGCATTGGCCTGCAAACCAAAGGTTCTCACGTTCTATTTCCAGTCAGGGTATGTACCTGGGTTGGGTACGTGCGGGAGGTAATCAGTCCATGTGCCTCTCTCACATGGATGTTTCTCTCTCTCTTTCTCCCTCCCTGTCTTTCTCTCTCTCCCTCCTCCCTCTCTCCCTCCCTCCACTCTCTCTAAAAATCAATGGAAAAAATATCCTCGGGTGAGGATTAACAACAACAGCAAAATACTCTTTTATATAATTCCTTATGTAGCATTTAAAACTCTGTGTTAAAAATGTTTGAATAAAAAGATCAGTCTACCTTACCTCTAATTCTAGACAAAGTATTAATACTGGGTGAAAGGAATTATGTAATTACAGACTAATTATTATTATTAAAGTTACTAGGAATGTAACATACATTTAAAAATGTTTTTCCATTGGCAGTTTTTTATTAATGTATTTTTATATGGGCAAAGGAAGAAAAATGACAAATCCTCTGTGACCACAAACTTCAATTAGTTGTGTGTGCTTGGTCAGCCTTCAAAATACTGAACACCCAACATAATTTTTTATTTAATCTTTACTTAAGAACTTTATCATTTATGTTTTAGCAGATACCAAAGTAATCTTTGTTTTTGTCAAACTACACTGTAGTTTTTGAAAATAAAAATAAAAGATCTTAATTTGTGAAAATAAAAAATAAGAGATGAAGAAAATAAAAAGAAAACCTTTCTTATTTGTTTGCATTAAATATTTTTCACTTATTAAAATAGTTCTTACTTTTTAATAGTAAATAAGAACAGTTTTTATTATTTTTGTAAATAAATTATATGGCTGATTTTTTATGCAAAAATCTAATTTAATGACGTAAAAATTGTTAAATGTTTACTATGATCTTCATGGACAAATTTAAGAATATTATTTCAAATAAAGTTGCCTTTTTTTCCTATTAAATATGGTAGTTTGAAACTTTCATTATTTTAATTATTACTAGATTAATTAATGCATGTATTATTTGTATTTACAGTTTTAACTCTTATTCTAAACACTTTTTAAAGTATTTTACTATATATTTCTTACACAAAAATAATTTCATAGTCCCCAGTGTCCTTCATTCCTTGAAAGTTTGCCATTCATGAGCCATTTTACCTTAGTAAACCTCATTTAGCTAGATTTCAGCAAATGTGCATTTGTACTCTTATCTGCTACGTTCCTCTATTTCAGTACAGTAGAAACCTTTGCATACCATGCTCAGGCCTTCACGTTCATGCGTTCCATCTCTAGACCATGTGTTTTTGAGGAATCGAGGAAAACTCACTTTTGGCCATCAGAAAGATTGAGAAAAAAGAGTGGCCTAGCTTATGAAAATCAGTGTATTTTTAGAAAAGATCTTAATGCTAAATTAGAACAATAAATGTAGAAGTTGCTAAACATGAACCATCTTGAACCTTTTAGAGGATGTACTTGATTCAGACCATAAAGCACCAAGGTAAAGTCAAAACCACGATGATTCGAAGTCTAGTGCAGCCTGGAGGTAGAGAACTTGGTGTGAGTTGGGTGGGAGCGGAACGATGGCAGGCTTGCTTGCTTTGACTAATACCTATGACACCTTCACCCCAGTGTACATGGAGATGAAATAAAAACAGTAGCTAAACTCTGGCATGTACATTTCCAAAGAAATTGGAACACTATTAAAATGGCCTAAGATTGACATAAATTGCTCTACCTTGAAGGTCACCCTAAGCACACAGAGTAAATAGAAGCCAGGAGAGACTTCTCCCAAACCATCTAAGAAAGAAACCCTGAAGTTCTGGCTTCAGAGGCACAGTGTTTTTCATTTACATCATAAAAAAGGAATGACTAACGTATTACATTTTTGTAAGTTCCTGTGTTGTATTTTACCAGGGTTGCCTCTATTTGACCTGTATTTCTCTTCAGTGATTAGTAGTAAACTTACCCAGATGTGTATTTGAAGAGCAGGAAATGAAGGTATTATGTTGTAGTGTGATGGAAGGAAGGGAAGACCAGATGGATTTAAAACCTTGGTTTAGCCCTGGCAGGTTTGGCTCAGCGGTTGGAGCGTCGGCCTGCGGTTCAGAGAGACCCAGGTTCGGTTCCCGCTAAGGGCATGTACCTTGGTTGCGGTTTGTCCCCGGCCCTGGTTGGGTTGTGCGGGTGGCAGCCACTCGATGTGTTCCTTTCACGTCGATGTTTCTCTCTCTCTCTCTCTTCCTTCCACTCTATCTGACAAAAAATAAAATAAAAAAAAATGTCCTCGGGTGAGGATAAAAAATAAATAAATAAATAAAAATAAAACCTTGGTTTAATAATCTGAATTCTGTATGACAGCTAAGTACCAGGAATACCAACGTAAATCTCAAAAATTTGCCCTGCTTTCAAGGGTATGGCAAGATTCAACAATTACAGTTCAATATGTATTATTTTTTTAAATGTTTTTTAATTGTTTTTTTTTTGTAGAGAGAGGGGAAGGGAGAGAAAGAAACATCAATGTAGGAGAGAAACATCCATCAGCTGCCTCCTGCACGCCCCCTACTGGGGATCGAGCCTACAACCCGGGCATGTGCCCTAACCAGGAATTGAACCAGGACCTCTCAGTTCATGGGACAATGCTCAAATCACTGAGCCACCCTGGCCGGGCCAATATGTAGTATTTTGAGATAAGTAATCAGGAGGCGAGGGGAGAAGAAATGAAAGTTAAACCGTCTTGCATAGCAGGGAAGGGAATTGAACAGACGGAAGATGACCTGAGTCCTGAAGGAAAAGCAGGACTAGCCTGACGAAATAGGGGAAAGGACAGCAGGCATTTCTGGGCAGAGAAAAGGAAATTCAGAAGTACCAGGACATCAATTAATATGAAATGAGACATTCAGGAAACCCTAAAGGATGAGAAGTAAATGGTCTGAGGAAGTGGGGTAAGATAAAGCCAGAGAGACCAGAGGAAGATCATAAAATGCTGAATACACCAAGCTAAAAAGTTTAACCATTATCCTGAAAACAAGGGAGCCTTATTAACTAGGAAAATAAGCTGATTGGATTTGTCTTTTAGAAAGATTGCCCATTCTGGAAGGCAGTTGGCCAGTTAACCAAAATCTTTAAAAATGTATATATTATTTGTTAAATCAATGTCTCTTCTTTCTGATAATTAAATGAGTTAAAAATCTGTACAGATCTTTCCTCAGCCTTTAGTAGAAGAGAAACGTGGACAATGTGTCCTGCACAGGAAGGAGGCTCTGAAATAATTTTGTTTACTCAGACACTAGTCTACCAAGAAAAACCCTCTGATTAGTCACACTAAGACAAAGGTCCCCAAATTTTTCTCTTACGTTTCTTGTTACTCGATGTAAAAAAGAAAAATCACTTTATCAAATTGTTTTCTTACCGAGCTTGTCTTCATTCACTTAGAGGTTGGATAATTGCTTGAAGGCAGAATATATAGTTGTTTAAATAGTATCTAATAAATGTCAATGAACTTAAAGTATGTGTTTTATATATTTTTTCCTTTCCCACCTAAATCTAAGTCCTTGTGATTCATACATTATAAATGCTTAGAGTAACTTTTGGTGTTGAAAACAATTAAATCTCGGGGGTGCAGTGCATTATTCCATAATGTATTTCATTTTATTGCAGCCATTATTCACAACCACCTGAAAAATATTTAAGATTTGGAAAATTATTCACGGTATATTAAGTAAAAAATATCATTTACAGAGTTATATATATTGTTGTCTGGGTTTTCTAATTAAATATATAACTATGAAATTTGCATAGAAACATTTACATAAAATGTTCTTGAATAGTTATATGCATGCATACATAATATTCTAAAGAGATGTTAAATTTTTTTCAATTCTTATTCCAGATTTTCTGCAAGAAGCATGTATCTGTAATTTGATAAACTGATATTTTAAAGTAAATATTGTTTTATAGTGATAGAAATGATAGAAGAGGACCAGACTGAGGCAGATGCCAACTGTTTTATGATTTATACAACAATCCAAGTAAGAAATGTGAGGACCTGAACACAGGTTGCTGACAACTTTGAGTGGAACCAACAGAAGTTGGGATGAATGATGTGGAAGGTGGAGAGGAGGAAAGGGAGGAGTCTAAGATGACGGGTTAGATGATTGTACCATGCCCCAAGATGGGAAATACAGCAGACTAACAGGTTAGGAGTGGGCTATCAGGTGAAGAGGTTTATTCAGGACTGAGTTAGAGATGCCTGGGACTCTCTAGACAAAGATGTCCAATAGACAACAGAATATACAGGCCTAGAAGAGTTGGGGACAGAGGGGAATACCTGTTTGGGAGACATAATATGTAACTATTCATTGTTGTCACACTCCATGGAGAGTGTACGGAGAAGCATTCTGAACTGAGCACGAACCTCTGGGGAGAGGCTGAGGAGCTAAGGTCAGGGAGGAAATCAAGAGGATAACTTAGCAGAACTAAAGGAAGAGAATTTCAAAAAGAAAGAAACATAGCCAGAGATGAGAAATTTCTGCTAAGATGAAAAACAGTGCTCTTTGGGGTGCTAATTAAGATCTTTTATGAGCTTAATGAAGCATTTTTGGGTGAAGTGGTTCAAGTGGAAGATAGATTGCAATAGCTTGAAGAGGAGCATGAGGATCAGAAGTTGAATGCGTGAATGTAGATTACCCTCTCAGGAAGCATAGGGCGAACAAAGAGGTTAATGGCCCCATAACTAGATGGTGACTTAGGCAATTTGTATCTCCAAGACTCCACTTCCTGACTTATGAGAGGGAAAAAATAATGTCTAACAGTATCATGAGGATTAAAATCTATTACTAATTGAATGCTCTGTGTCTTTTCACTGAATCAATTTGTTACTGCTAATCACCATGTTTTCATTTTCATAATATTTTGAGCATCCAAGTCGGGTGAATGATGAAACTTAGAGTTGACTTGCTTTGCCTTACCCTAGCTCAAGTTTGTTTCTTATTGTACATACCTGAGTTTGACCTCATATTACCATAACATTCCTTTAGCACTGAGAACAAGGACAGTCTAAGTTTGGCCTGGGAATAAATGGAGTGTGGGCAGACCACTTCTTTTCTGACTCCATTTTACAAACCAAAGAAGCGGCCTCCAGTAGAGATTCTAGAAGCAAATACTGCTTGCTTTGTGGGTCAGTCTGACCCACTGAGAACTCCTGCTGCGGATTAGTTCAGTATACAGATGTTTCTTTGGCTTCGACTCCTGACATCTCTAGGCACTTCATGTTTTGAACTGAAGGTTTCAAAAAGCCAGATGAGTCTGTGCTGAAATGAAACCCCCAAGTATGGATGTGACCTAACAATCACTGCCAGCTCACAGGGACACAGGCAGGGGCAGGGAGAGCTCAGTCCACACTGCAGGTGAAGGAAGCAGGTAACAACCTTGAGTTATTCTATCAAATCCAAGGCTCGAAGTTCCCAGACTGCCCAAGGAGACAGTGATAGAGGCCACAAAGGAGGGGCTCGGCTCAAACCATCAACAGCTCTGCAGGTAAGGACAGGAAAGCTCTGGTTCACCCATTTCTCACCTCAAAGAAGGATTCTGATAGTCCCCAGAAAACAAAACAAAACAAACAAACATTAATCAAAGAAACAGAGAATACATTCTTTAAGAAATTTTTGAAATTTAGAGGTGCCTGTAAAATGGCCTAGGCAATAGGAATTTCTGGAGTGGGTACATGCAGTTTGTATTTTAAACTTTTTGGAGCTTATCCAGATACTACTTTAAATACTGATCCTGGCAGGACTGCCCTTTAAGGATGTCCTGCAGAGAACTTGTCACTCGTAATTTTAAGTAAAAATTGACAAGGAATGCTTTTTCAGCCCAGTAGGAGTCAGCTATGTGCACGTCACAAGATTCGGAGGAAACCCATTTACCCTCCTATTTGCTTCTACAAAGTTGAAAAAGCTGCAAGTGGGAGGGACCCCCTGGAGGCTCATTCTGTTCCTTTTAGATTTGACCTATGAATGTGTTGGAGGCAAAAAACAATCATCATATAGTCTCCTTTCATACTGTTTAAATCACAGGAAGCAGCAGCTTCAAGAAAAAGTAAGTTTTGTTTTCTTTTCCTTAATATTTTCTGTGTGTGTGTTTTTTATGGGGTGTTTTGGCTTCTTAAGTACAAGGAATTCTTATAAACTTTCTAGTGACTGCATAAGAGAAAAATTATACTTGGTAAATAAGTATAGATCTTGAACTTCCTTAGAATCTTTTAAAAGCCACTTGAGCCTACAGTTATCAGATTCTATATGCTTAGCTTTTCAGACTTCTCATTTTGATGATATGCATGTGAGAGAAACAGAGGGTCCGGGTACCTCTGGAGCTGCCTCCTGCACCCTGAGAATGGTCTTTATTCCGGGGGGCAGAGCTCCATTGCCACAAAGGGGAGGCGGAATTCCGGCGTTTCATTTGACTTAATTTATTTGCATGACTAACTTTATCACGGAGGGTATTTTATGGCTGGATTTATATATCCAGTGCACAGTTTGAAGACATTTACATATTTTAAGTGAGATTCCTGCTATTTTTAAGAAAAGTCTGCTTACTTTCCAGAAGCAGGCATAGAGACAATTCCTAATCTTAGGTGTTCTAAGATTAAACTAAAACGTCTCTGTGTCTGGCTCACACAGATATATAATCTGAGGCGTTGCTTCTTGACAGTGAGATAGTGTTACTAAGCAAAAGCAGGCTTCCCATATGTTCATGCTTCCTCCTTCGCGTTTTAGTCAGACCCTCTTTGCCATCTATCATCCGTTTGAAAACCAAACGCAACTTCTTAGCTGTCAATTTGTGTTTCAGGATTGTGAAACTAATATAAATTTATATATATAAAATAAATATATAATAAAATGTGTAATTCTTACAAAGAAACCCTTCAAATAACTTTAGTCTTCATTTCGCATCCATAATATGTACTGTCATTTAGAAATGTTAGCATTTTTATTAGCAAAGTACATGAATTAAAATATAACACAAATATTGCAAACATATGTATCATACAAGAGGGTTCTCAACATATTTGCTATAATATATGCCTAAAGCCATGATCCAAATTGCTTGATGGGGAAGATAAACTCCGCTGTCTGTTTTCTACACTTGTTCTATTTATTCCCACATGTTATCATTAGTTGCCAGTCCTGGGACTGTTCTACCTAAACAAGAGCAACAGACATGTGTTTTAATGTAACATCACCTCACTGACAAGTTTACCTCTCATTTTTATTATACTTGCCAACAACATGTTGAGTAAAGCTAGATTAATTTGGGTTCCTTAGACAAGCTTAGTAACTTTCTACTATAATATTGAAAATAAATTGTTCTCTAGGACATGTTGGAGAAACTTTGATTTGTTTTCCACGTTTTCAATCTAGGAAACATGATCTCTTTAGAATTGAAAACCAAATACTTGGGTTCACATGAGAGGCTCTGAGTCAGATGTCAGTTAAACAATCTTGCATTTCCGTATTGTTGTAATTGTCCTTTTCCTGTCTGATTATCGTCATTTTTTTTGGTTACCTTTTGGTCCCCTGGAAGGGGACATGAGGAAGAGGTGGGGAAGGAAGATGAGAACCCCTTCCTGTCATAACATCTTGAATCCCTCCAAATTGATCAGTTGAGCATTTTATCTCTCTCCACATCTTTTGGATTATAGATCCCCTGAATCTAATAGAATCTTTGGACTCTCTTCTAAAAAAAAAAAAAAAAAAAAAACAGTCCATTGCAAATAGATATTTCAATGACATTTCTGGGGTTGATAGACTCCTGAAACCTATTTCTGAGTATTCTCTGGGGTCCTCCTCATGAACCACTATTTTCCATGAAGCCATACACCTCAACTTCAGATATCCTGGGGCGTGGATTCACCAATTTGTCAAAAGACTTGGAGGAATAACTAAAATGTTTCTCTAAACTTTCATCAGCTGAGGACAGGTAAGGTTTAGGCAAGGATTTTAGCTGAAGATGAAGTTTAAGGGTTAATTTTCAAAGCAGGTGCTTAATTCATGATCACCCATGTTCTGGGCAGAGTGTCATGGAAAGAACAGTGGAAGATTCAAGTAGCGGAACAGTTCCTTTTGTGGAAGCAAGGCTTAGAATGGAAGGGTAAGAGGGTTAAGCCCCCAAACACCCCAGAATGTGGGAAGGATGGCTGCAGGGGAGACCTTTCTCCGGCCATTCTCCTGCATCCCTGTGCCAACCTATTCGTAGATTAGAAGACAAAAGGGAAGATCTAGACTAATGCCCGTTATCTTATACTCTACACTTAGGGTTCACGGTCTCTCATCTTTCCTTCTTTATTGGCTTCTTCCATCAGCATTTAAACATGCTCAAATTTCCCATCTTGAAGAGCTTCTCCGTTTTTGAGCCCCTCCAGTTACCCTCATTCCTCAGCTTCCCAATCTCTTGAAAGAACTGTCTATACTCTAGGTAGAGTCTCCACCTCCTCAGCCCGCATTTCTCAATCTGTGACACGCTGGCTTTAGTGCCATGAGTTTTCCTCGTGCTCACTGAGGTCATCAATTACAAGTGCATTGCTAAATCCACAGACATTTCTCATTCTCTGCTTGGTGTCTTAAAAGCATTTCACCCTATTCTACACTTTTCCCACCTTGAAACACTCTTTATCCAGGATTTTCATGATATCAGACTCCTGGTTTTCCTCTGCCTCCAAGACCGCTGTTCTCAGCCTGTGTTCCAGAGTCCCATTGTTTTCCCCTATATCAGGACTGCCTCTCTCTTTCTCGGCAATGTCATTGCTTCACTTATCATCTGTTCTGTATGCTTAAGAATCCAAAACCTTTATCTCTAACTAAGATATCTTTCCTAAACTACAGATCTGTACATCTGCCTGCCTGCTGAGGACAGACTGCCCGGAGCAGGCTTAGATTCCAGTGAATACAATGGGGATGAGGGGAGGAACATCATAGACTTGATAGGTAAGAATTTTGACACAGAATTACCCATAGAACCCCTTCAAAAATGCCCAAGTAGTTTTTATGGTTTCTCTGCCTCAGCTCTTTAACCCCAGCTGAATAGCTCTACTTGGCTGTCCCACAGTCCTCTCAAATTTTATCATTTTTTATTTAAAAGTAAGTTCCTTAGTTTCCTCTCCTATTCCTCACCCTACTTCCCTCAAGTACACCCGTGTACAGTAAAAGACACCCTTCCTTCTATCCACGGTATTTACTGAGAGCTCAGCATATGCTGATGACACGCTAGACACCTGCAGTCTGGTGGTAACAGCATCTGCCCCGCTGGAAGCTGCCCGTTGAGCAGGAAAGACGTTTAGGGCTCATTGTAGTATGTGTGCTCAGGTGTCAAGGGCCACAAGAACGTACAGCCAGGGTCCTCATCTGGTGGAAGAGTGATGGGGTGAAGAAACCATTTTTGAGTCTGTCCCCCACACCAGCATGGAAGCTTTTCATGGGTAGAGAACTGGTCTTACCTGCCAAGCTCCGTGGTTGGCTCGAAGCTGGTGTTCACAAGCTCTTTGTGAAACCTACAGAACTAAGGTACACAGTGTGAGAGAGCTAGCTGTGTGATGCTATTGGGTTTAAAAACAACGAAAGAGCCAGACCAAGGCTGATGCCAGATTGTGAAAGGTCTGAAATGCTATGCTAAAAAGCTTGGAGTATGAGGGTCACAAAGTAGTTTGATTCAAAGACAAGTCATTTGAAGACTGGTTTGGCTTCTGTTTATAGAATGGGAAGGAAGTGACTGCTTGGCTCTAAACCTTTAATGTTCTATCACCAAGTATCTGACTTTATTCTTCCTGCATTCATCCAATAGATATTTGTGCCAGGCTCTGTTTCAGGTGCCAGGGGCACAGCCCTGAACCAGGCAGGAAAGGTCTCTGCTCCTGTTTGTGTGACATATTCGTATGCCTTAAAAATTTGCACACTGGGAGATGCTTAGAGTGAAAATGAAAATAACACTAAAACATAACCAATATTTGTCAGCTTACACTGTGAACATTTGTTTTCCAAGAAAATGATAACAGATTTTCCCCTTTCCGTTTTTTTATACACCAAACTAGCATAAACAACCCGAGAGCAACACATTTGTGTTTTTCAAGCTATAAACCTGCACCTGCTGAGTGAAGCCTATGAGTTCTCTGGCTATAGTCATTTTCTTTGATGGATGCTGAGAACCAACTTTGTCTAAGTCTCTGAGACTGGAAACAGATAAAAATTAAATTAAGGCTGCTTTTCAATATCACCATGTGACGGTTTAAATGGTCACTCTCTCATTACCAACAAATTTTAAACTATCAAGAAAATAGCTTGTAATGATTGATAAGTGTTATCACCAAAGTACAGGATATAGTTTTGCCTTGAATCTTTTTAAATCACATTCTGGTAAGAAAATGATTATTTTGCTTGAGGCGTAAATACTGGGAAAACTAGTTAACATCAAGTTCTATCCACTTTCAACCCCAACCCCAACCGCCCCTACACACACACACATATACCACGAGGCACACATACTTACATATACAGGAACACACATAGCACACATGCACACACATCATGACCTCATTTTTTAGGTGAGGATACAGAAAATAAAGCCAAATGTGCTTTTGGGCTTTTCTTCCCCAACCCACAGTAAACCAAGAATAATAATAATAAACAAAAACCAGTAGAAATTGAATGGCCTTGAATGTCACAGGGGGACATGTTCTTGCTTTTGAGGATAATGGGTTCATTTTTCACAGTTAGTGGCAGCCTGGCTTCAGGCATGGAAGGAGCCTCTCTGTATATGCATGTGAGGCTGTTACCTGCTCAGCAATTAAAACCCAGAGGGCCTGCCCTGGCCAGTTTGGCTCAGTAGTTAGAGTGTTGGCCTGCAGACCAAAGGGTCTTGAGCATGTACCTGGTTGCAGGTTTGATCCCTGGGAGGCAACCAGTCGATGTCTCTCTCTGACATCAATGTCTCTCTCTCTCTCCCCACCCTACCCTCTTCCACTCTGTCTAAAAATCAGTGGAAAAATATCCTGGGGTAAGGATTAACAAACAAACAATAAAAAAAAACCCGAGTGCCAGATACAAATA